TCCAGTGTGTCCTGGGTCTTCCCGGAGCATCTGGAACAGATGCCTGACCCACCTCAGCTGGCTCTTCTCAACACTGAGGAGCAGCAACTCTACTCCGAGCTCCTCCCGTGTGACTGAGCTCCTCTCCCTATTTCTTAAGGAGCGGCCAGCCACCCTGTGGAGGAAACTCATTTCAACCGCTTGTATCCACGATCTTGTTCTTTCGGTCATACCCAAGGCTCATGACCATACAAGAAATTTGCTACTGTCATGAAAATCCTGGAAAAGTCATGGAACTTGAAAATGTCATTTTCCAGGCCTGGAAAAGTCATGGAATTTTGTAAATTCAATGAACGTTTTGTAAAAGTCATGAAACTTAAGTATCTCTTTCATGCCACTACAGCGTTCTGTTAAGTTATCATGAGGCTATTATGATTATTTCCAAATGTTTGAGCCTTTTGTTTAAAAGAGACGACAATAAATGCACTGACAGTATTTTGAATGTTAAAAAACTATAATACCAAACCATAAGGTGAGTGGAAAGGGTTAACATTTCATATTTAGCCCTAAAAGTCTGATCAATTCTACACATGTAGGTGCTGTAAAGTCATGAAAAATTCACTTTAGGTCATGAAAAAATCATGGAAACGTTTTAAAATTCTGTCAGTGAAAAAGAGTTGGAACCCTGAGTTTGTTAAAAATGTGATATTTGAGAAAACATTGTATGTGTTTCAGAAATCAATAAAAGTACATCAGATTTTGTAATACTCTTTAATACAATTATGAGATGAATTTACAAAGTGGCAGTAGATATAGTCACTGCTAGCAGGGTCTCTGATTGGAACCCACCCAGACCCTGTTCTTTCTTTTCCCTGTAACAAAACACTGATCCGCCCATACCAGACATGAGAACGCACTGATCCAAAAAATGTCAAGCTATACAAGCCATGGGAAACTAGGACTGCTAGCAACACAGTCACGTAACACAACGAGACATACACCTACGCTAGCTCCGGCTCGTGTGCCAGGCTGACAATTAGGGCAATAATAACAGTAGCGTACGTACAGGAAATAAGACGTCGATAAGCTTGAATGATAATAGCACCGTGTTGTTCAGTGCCAGAGACTGCAGGCCCTGTGAGAGAGAAAAAGAGGGGAGGACGCTATGTACAAAAGCTAACGCTAAGCTAATGTGGCTAACGTGTGACTTGTTACGTTTATACATTTATTATGTTTGGCTTGCCTATGTTAAAAGTTGTACTATGCTGAATATTGGGCTGGAAATAATAGTATGTTGTTAAAATGTGTTAGTTGTGTTGTTAAAATTCTATATATTTAATACGTTTTACTTTTAATGTAAATGTAAACAAAAGTACAGAAGTTTACATTTTAATCTCATTGTTAACGTCACTAAAAACCGACACGTTTGATTATTAGTACTTGTATTGAAAATAAAGTGGGAAAATGATCTATTTCAGATTTATTATAATATTAATTTACATAATATTAAACAAAACTCTATATATAACTCTATATGCTATATCATAAACATAATTTAGCATAATAGCCTATTAGCCCTAACGTAGAGTGTCGAGATTTGCAAAATAAAAACAGGGACATCCCCAGTTTGAGTTGGTTGGTAATAATAAAATTGTGAAAAAAGTGCGAATTAAGGAAAATTGTTAAGCACTAATGCAAGTCAGTATAGTCAGGTTTTCTTTGTATTTTGGTCATTTTAAGTAGCTTTTCTGTATTTTATCTAAACAAATGACAATTTATGCCTCTCTTTACTGTTCGCAGGGCGCATGTTTCCTATGTTCCCACAGACTTATGTTCCCTCATTTCTAAGTTTTGCTTTGTTGTTGTTGTTTTGTTTTTTCCAAAATTGGACCCTATGTTCCCACATTTCCTTTATCATCAATTTGCATCAGATTTTATCCTCATTTCTCCCAATTTGGTCGTCAGTTACACCCAACCTATTCTCCAGCTGCAGTTGACCGATGTAATGTTGAGGTCATGGTGCAAAGGATCGTAGGTTGAAATGACTCTGAATCATCCCTTTAAATGCAGTATAAAAATAAAAATGATTTGAATTAGAGTTTCTTTTTTGAGAAAAATCTGAGAAATAAGAAAAATCTTAGAAATGAGGGAACATAGGGCTGTGGGAACACAGGGCTGACCCCGTTGGGAGATATCAAATTTGTCAAAGATAGGGACACCTGGGACATTTCTTGTATAAAACTGGGACAAATCACTGGTTTTGGATAAATCTGCTGGGACAGGGGGACACAGGGCTCAAAACTGGGACTGTCCCGGGTAAATAGGGATATCTGGTCACCCTACCCTAACGCTAAGTTACTGTATTTTTCGCACTATAGGGTGCTCTGTATTATAAGGTGCACTGTCATTGAATGGTCTACTTTCGAACTTTTTTCACAAATAAGCCGCACAGGACTTTAAACAGTAAACTACAGGACTGGCTTTGTAGTTTACTGAAGTCGTGCTGGGACACCCGAGTGGATTCATGTATAGGGCGCTCTGGATTGCGAGGTGCACAGTCGTTTTTTGATGGGGTTGGAGGCTTTTGAGCGTGCCCTATGGTGTCGAAAATACGGTAGCTCAAATGGCTATTGTGAACTCTGGAAATGTCCAACTATTGTAGCCTCATTTGTAACTTTTTAATTAATTCTGTAGGAGTCTTCTAACAGTAAGCTAGACTCACAAAATAGCATACTTTAATTATTATTTTAATCATAGTTTTCACAACATTTAATTTCTTTGGACACAGTTCCTGGCTGCTCTCCCCGGCTTCATTTCCTGCATCAATTCACACCAAAATGTTTGTGTTACAATGCAGTTTTCCTTCCATTTTTTAATATATATTTTTTTAAAGCTAAATTGTGGTAGCTAAATGGACTGCCACCACCTAAAAACAAGCTAACAAGCCGTTTGGTTTCCAGCCCTGCCATTGTTTGTTAGTGATGCCAAACTCCAAGGAACAGTAACATAGAAAGGTCGCTTTTTGAATTGTATTTTTGGCTTCCGTTGAATGAGATCGCCGCGGGGGCAGAGCCAGTTTTGAGTTGAGTTTTCCAACATAATAATTGAGGCTATGTCCAAACCAATGTCTTTTGAACTGCAAATGTCTTAACTTTTAACAGTTATATTACAAACTGATGTGAAAATTTGTGTTATTATATTATACATTTTTATTGGATAGCATAAAACGTCGAAGAATGGTATAAGCATCCAGGATATAGCATTTTGTTTACGGTTTTGTTTTCTTTATAGCTTTGATATTTTTTGATATTGAGAAACTATGTGAATCAAAATAAGTATTGGCTATATTTAAATATCTCTATACATTTACATAATCAAAATAAATAGGTTAAGAAGTAATGTAGATTTTATATATTAAGCCACATAACGCTAGATGGTTAGTCATGAGCAGTCAAAATGTATGTTAGTATGAATGTAGTATTAGTACAATATTATGAGATTATTTGAGTTAAACGTTAAAAAGTTAGATTGAAAAATTAAATTAGCCTATTTAATTACTAAAAACATCTGCCACTTTAAAATCATAATCTCTAATTTAGGGCAATAAAGGCCTGTGGTTTAATGTCAGTTCAGTCTTTACAAAATGTGCTTATGTCAAACCATAAGATCAAGTTTTTCCCTTTCTATAACTTTTAAAGGGACAGATCGGAATTTTGGACATAGGATCTCATTTTACTAGTGAGCCAGAGTGTTGGAGACGTGTGGAGACACTTTTTAAAATATCCCACCCAATCTTTGTATTTGCAGAAGTCGCTGGTGCTAGGCTAGTGCATGTCAATGGCCATAGTTATCCTGCCACTAAAAACAGTCTTAGCCACTCCACAAAACACCCGAAGCAAAACTATTATTACACCAGACTGTCGATGTAAAAGTCTGTGTTGATAGAATAATTTTAGAAGTAAAACTAATGTTGCATTTGATTTATGTCTGAGCAGCAGCAGCGAGTTGTACTTCCTGATAGAAGTAACTTGGCAGCGGCGGACTGATATATGAGAAAATAGTCCCTCAACATGCGACAATTCATGCGATGCAAGGTTAGTTTTATTTTCATAACATCATTCTATTGACACAGACATTTACATCGACAGTCTGGTGTAATAACAGATTCGCTTCAGGTGTTTTGTGGAGTGGGTAAGACTGTTTTTAGTGGCAGGATAACTATGGCCATTGACATGCACTAGTCTAGCACCAGTGACCTCTGCAAATACAAGGACTGGATGGAATATTTTAAAAAGTGTCTCCATATGTCTCCAACTCTATGGCTCACTAGGAAATAAGGCAACATGTCCAAATTCTGAACTGTCCCTTTAACTCTTAATGGGTGTTAATATATTTACATCTAAGTTTTATGGTTATGTCGAGATTGGGAGCAGGGCAAATGATTAGACTTTGTGGTATGGTTTGGTGATAGTGGGGATCACCCATATTGCTACTTAGCAGCTAATGTGATCAAAATTTCCTGGGGGTGTGATGCTAACTAAAAGAACTGTTCAATCTGAAGCTGCGAGACTTTAATCTGAGTTTTATTTTAACACAATCTGACCTTAAAGATCTGTCAACCATCCAGACCTTTTTGTTGAAAGTCAAACACTTAAACAGGACCATAAAAGCTCTTATTAAGCGCAGACTCTTGAAAATGTGTGACTATCTTAAAACTTTTTTAGTTGTGTTTTTTAATGTGTGCGTTGTGTGCCATAGTAACTAGCCTTCTGCTTTAAGAGATGTTATTTCTTTGGGAAATACCATAGAAAAACTCGAGGCCCATATGAGAGAGGGACATCAGCACATTCAAGAATCTGACACCAAAAACAACACCACAGTCTTAACATGCCCCAAAGGAAATGAAATGAGACACTTGTTTTTGTCTGAGCTACACAAGCCGGGGTTTTTAAATATCTTTCCAGTGACTATAGCGAGAATGTCTGGTTCACATGAGGACTTGGACAGTAACAGGGGAAAGCGTGGAGCCTAAAAGAGGGGAGCAGAGGAGAGGGCAGACGCAGCAGCGGCGGCGGGCAGATGGTGGGGCCGGAGCGCCGGATGGGAGGACAGAGATGGACGGATGCACTGGGGAAGGCCCTTCTGTTCCATCAGCAGAAGCCTATCGGACAGAGAGCACGCAATGAGACCAGTCATGTCACATGGGAGGTTTTATACGGCAATTTAGGTTTATTTTGGATTTTAGATATTGTTGGACCACAATACTGTTATTTTACATATACAGTTTAAAAATGTGTATATAAAACATGCTGTACTTTCAGTTTCACACAAAATGGTATTTGACTGATGCCATCTCACTGTTAGTATCTAGGGGAATAAGCAATAGCTGCACCATAACTACATCAAACTACATCGACCATGATCCTTTGCTCCGTTTTGGTACAAACTACATGAACAAATAACAGTTCTAAGCACTTTTAAATCTTAGTTCTTTGAATTAAGTCTTGTCAAGGCATTTTAAGAGGAAAAAGTAGCATATTCACATTTTTGTTAGCCTCCACAAAATATCACAATAAATATCGTACCGTGAGATGTATATCGTGAAAATATTATACTGTGAGATTTGGATATCTTTACATCCCTATTAGTGTCTGTTTGTATTCTCACTGCCTTTTTAATTGAACTGTTATGCATAATGGCACTTTTTTGTGTAATTCTTGTTGTGTTTTTATGGTGACCATGTTTACCATCTGTCCAGGGACTACAGATGAAAAATAGCCTCTGGTTAATTCTGGTACATTTACAGAAATGTTGATTAATGTACACTATCCCTGCTAAATAAACCAAATTTAAATAAAAAGTAGAGAAGCATTTTCAAGCTACAATTAGCAGCCTGGTTGCTGTCAATATTGCCTGAGGAATATCAGTCTGGTCACCATGCCGGTCCTCACGCCTTGAGGCAGACTCAAACATGGTCGTGCAATCAGATGTGGTTATTTCAGCAATGCATATGAAACAACAGAGCTCACTGGTCAACTATGAATTTTTTCCCACTGTGCATGGACGTTTTTGTTTTAAGTAAAAGACAATATCTCCAAATGCTTCACTTAAACATGTCTTGAAGAATTCATATTATGCAAAACTGTATCTTTTCATGCTGGTTTCATTAATCCATAAATCCAAAGTTGACATCTTTGAGCACTCAGAAATGCTCCGTTGGCGTATGGGGTGTCATACATAAAATTCTGCACAGTTTTAAAACCCATAAACCATCACCTGGATCTACAGTATTAGCATAACATTCACAAGGGTTTTGTCAACTTTTACGTTTATCATTCCCGTTGCTACAGCAGCGAGAGCTTTAATACCCAAATGTGTCTTTGGAAATGGAGGTGAAGTTTATAAAATATATTCTCCAATATGCAGACAGAAACTGTGAAATATTATAAAAAGTTAAAAAAGCATGTTGAAAAGTGAATTAAAGTGAAAATGCATGATACAGAATGTGTTTTTGAATTAAACAAAACTATTCCAAGTACAAAGGCTCTAAAAGTTGATTTAGCAAAAAGATAAACCCCTTTTATTATCTATAGCTGGTCTTCTTACCCTCACACTCGAAGGCCTGCAGCACGGCGGTGTAAGAGGGGCCCAGCCAGGAGGTGTAGCTGGTGATGATCCTCTGCAGGTGGTGGGTGGAGTCACTGAACATCAGGTCCGGTTCTCCGTAGGCCGCTGAGCTGTACATGTGGAAGCTGTCGGTGGAGTTCCCAAACGCGTTCTGCACCACACAGGGAATGAGTGACAGATGAGAGCCTCTATTACATCTGCTGACATTTGTGAATGACTTTATGAAGGCCTTTGAGATATGGGAAGAGTATATTATATTTAAATATCTCTTTGTCTTAAGTATGAGTATGGCAAAAGTGCACTCAACTCCCAATGACAATATAGTGCACACAATTTGACATAACTTTTTACAGTATTGATGCTTGTTCAAATGAGTACTTGTTTCGGTTTTAGTATCAGTTAGTATCTAGGTGTTGATTTATTTTTATTTTTTTTACAGTCCTTGTAAATAGTTGTTGTTATCTAGAATTACTTAAAGAAGACACAACCCCAAGTGTGTGTTTTTGATGCACAAACACCACTATAACATGGTCAAAAGCTGCACTACATAACTTTTCTGCTTGAAAAGAGAGACCTGCGTGTCTCCATGGAGAGTTATTGCTTTGCCTGAGATGTTCCACAGCATTAAAATAAACATATCTATCTTGGAAATAATCTCAATTAGGCTACGTGTGTTTGTAGAAAACAAATTGAGAAACATGCAATCTTAGGCTACGGTTATATGATGATGGTCTGAACAGAAGACGGGAAAGCGGCAGCGCGTCTTCACTTTTTATTCCATGTTTATACAAGCGTTTTCGGGAGGAAATCTGTGTGCGTACAGTGACACAAAATAAGTTGGTGAATCTAGGTGGTGATGTATGTGATGTAAACGCGTATGCGACGTGAGCAGATTTTACCAGAGTTTTGCGTCTTGGGCAGTGTAGACGAAAATGCTACAGCAGAACATATTCAACTTTTCCACTCTGGAGGGTGGTTTCAGATTTTTGTGTTTTTAAGCCCCAAAAACCCCGTCACCGTCTAAACAAAAGACATTCCTGATAAAATATTTTGTCGTTTTTGCCCACGTGTTCTCGTATAAAACATGGCCTTACTGTGAGTGTTGTCGTCTCTCCACAGATCTAAACAGCAACTTGGCCTAGTGACGTTACCTCCTTTCCTCCATGAATAATGCCATACAGTGGAACATGGCAAAGAAGCATCATCTCCATGGAGACAAAAAGGTGACAGACTCTCCCAGAAAAGTTTCAAGAGAAATAGATTCAAGATGTCCGGATCAACCAATTTCAAAGCCAAACAGTCTATGTAAACAACAGATAGACCACCAGCAGACAAACCTGAAGTCTCTCGAGGAACTTCCAGACCCTGCACCTGTCTTCAGGCCGGACCACCACAGCGTTGGTGGGCACAGAGGCCAGGTGGCACTGCTCGAACTCCTCTGGGTTTGCCTCAGTCCCATCAGGGCACAGCAGCTTCAGGTCCTCCACCTCCATGTCCAACGCCCACGACTCCTGGTTCTTCCCTGGGCATCAACAGAACAAGACCTCAAAAACATCAACGACTTGCCCTGATGTAAACCAAACAACTCGTAGCACTGGGTACCCGCAAATAGTTGATGAAACGGTTTTAACGTTCTGGAATTTTAATGCAGGTTGGTGGCGATTACACACGGGCGGGTCAGGTGAATCAAATGAACGACAAACGGGAAAAAAATACTTGACGAGCATCCAGGACATCCATTGCCCTGGACAGAAGTACCATTCCACGGCCTTTTCCCGGAACGATGGACCAGGCTGGTTTAGTCTTGGTTTAGTCCTGGTTCAGTCCTGGTTTAGTCTTGGTCCAGTCCTGGTTAAGTTCTGGTTTAGTCCTGGTTCAGTCCTGGTTCCATCCTGGTTTAGTCTTGGTCCAGTCCTGGTTAAGTCCTGGTTTAGACCTGGTTTAGTCCTGGTCCAGTCCTGGTGTAGTCCTGGTCATCGGCTCTGCAGTTATAGCGTGTATATATTTATAATTTGGAAATGACACGGCGTATTTTCAGTCCTGGTTCAGTCCTGGTTTAGTCCTGGTTTAGTCCTGGACTATTGGGCTGTCGGACTAATAGGTTGACCCCGATTTATCCAGGCGTGGGCGGGTAACTGGTGGAATGTTAACAGTCCGGGCGGGTGCGGATTTAACTTAGATTTAATCAGTCGGGTGTGGTGCTGTACTATGCGGGCGCGGACTTGTGCGGGTCTCCAAAAATGGACCCGTGCAGGACTCGGCCTCCCACCTCCCTCCAGCTGACCACCGAACCAGATCTAATCATCCTTCCAAGTACAGGACCTTAAAACTCTGTGTGATCCAGTATAAACATGTTTTTTTTTTTTTTTTTTTCCATGCACTGTCCTAAAATGGAAGCAACTACCACCCCCTTATCAGAAAAGTGACTTCAGCATGACTTTAGGGGGCAAAGTGAACAATGAAACTGGTATAAAACCACATAGGAGCTGAGGATTTTCATTCGATGACATCACGCAGTGGGACCAAGCCTTATTCAAACATGCATATTGTCTAAGCTGCTCTGAGGTTAAAATAAGGCTACTGCGTCCTGTCTGCATTAAAATTAAAAAGTGTTATATTGCTTGAGAATCAGGAAGTGTGCAGTTAGCATGCTAGTTGTTGTTAGCTTTACCGTCGCAGTGCAACTCCGCTCTGGTCTCTGAAAGTCGTAAAAAGAGCTCATTGTGGTGAATAATTAGGATGCTCGGAACGCACCTGCAAACCATTTAAAATGAACTAGTGCTGTTCATAGGTGCAGAAAATAAATTAAAAACATTAGATATATTAAGGGATTTAACAATGCTTTTTCTGTAATCAAAAAAATAAGAATCAGTCTAAAAAAAAAAAAGCAGTGAGTGAACCAGCAGGTCGTTCATCACCTCTGCCTCCTCGAAACGTCACATCCTTCTATTAAAGTGCACTTAGCAAATGGCTCATGTAAGACTGATGCTGTCATTGGGCCGTCATTGGCACGCTCCTAATGAACACGAACACATGAAGTTATAAATGGATAAGATGGCTGAACTTGACTCAAAAATCTTAGATGGGCATAACACCAAAAATCTGTAAAAAAATAAAAAAATGTTGGATTGAAAAATGAAACCGATAAAATAGTGTTGCTAGAAAAATGAACATTTCTAACTGGATTTTTGACGCTATAGTAACTAAAAACAAATAGCCTGCTGACTGCACACTTCTTGATTCTTGATCGATTGAAAAATGTATTTATAAATTAGATGCAGCTCAGATCAGAGAGTGTTCTTTTAGGTCTAAACCAACTGGATTTCATATGGAATAAGAAAGCTTTCAGAAATATGTGTGTGCATAGGATAGAAATCCGTGCATATTTGAGAAATTCGTGCGTATTTGGCTGTAGTTGAGCATAAATTAAATATTCATGAACTCTCGAATGAGTCCAGTCGTACATACAATGTGTTGTGTATCACAGATGTGACTTTACTGTCAAAAAATACATCACTTCAGGTTTAGTCCTGGTGTAGACCTGGTTCAGTCCTGGTTTAGTTCTGGTTCAGTCCAGACCTGGTTCAGTCAGTATGTGGCGCAAAAGCCTGGCATCTCGATCGATGTTTCTTCTGCACAGTAAATAATGCCTGTGAAGTGATGACGTATTTTTGTCTGTGAATTTGTATTTGTAATGAAGAAAGTGTAATCATAAATTTTCATTTAATGATTGTAATTCTTGATGTTGTAACTTTTCAATTTGTATTCTGATGGATAAAATACACACAACACATTGTTGTGGACTCATTTGAGAGTTTACGAATATTTATTTTATGCTGAACTACAGACAAATATGCACGGATTTCCCAAATATGCACAGATTTCTATCCTATGCACACAAGTATTCCTGAAAGCTCATGTGAGGCTCATTCCAAATAGGCTCTATTCACGCTTACGTCACAAACCAGGAAGACGTTTGGAAACATGTGATGACAACTTCCTGTATAGTTCCTGACACTGGGCTCGCCGACCAACTGTGATAAAACCCACTGAAGTAAATGTGATCAGCGGTAAAATGAAGACTGCAGATGTATGTGCTGTTTGGAATCATCTTGAATTTGGTGCGTCAGTGTGGAAATGATGAAAACTGAGATATTGTTGTAATTGTTGATTATCCGAACATAACGGAACGCTACAATGACATGGAGATGAAGAAAACTGGGACATTTTCTAATTTTTCCTAGATTTTGTCTTACTTGACTTACTACAGTCAACAGAGCCCGCCGGAAGTTGTCATCGCATGTTTCCAAACATCTTCCTGGTTTGTGACGTAAGCGTGAATAGACCCTAGTGTAACATAAAAACTTGACCATCATGTGTTAGGTCATGTTTATAAATTTAAACTCTAAATCTTACATACAGCTCCTTTAAAAAGATAAACTTTCTATGGAAATAATAATTGGTCGCGTTCAAAATCCTATCATAAAAGCAACAAGAACAACTCCCGGATTTCTAAATGACTAAGGCAAATCCCAGTGAAAAAGCCTGAGCGAGAATAACTCCGGTAGACTGGCCACAAGCTGGTGCAGCCCTGACCTCCGATAATTGCCGGACATTATTGACCATATGAGAAATCACGCTTGGTTTGCAGCGTCTGTATCTTTCCTTTCTCAGCTGTACAAGCCGAGTCTGTGTAGCGTGACTTGGGTAATGATCGCCATTCATTCTGGATCTGGCCCAAAGGGGGACCATATGCACCGAGTAACCAAGGGAGCCGGCCATTTTGTCGTCAGAGCGGGTGTCGCCGTTCTAGCTTCATTTTTTTTTTTTTGCCTGTTGTTTGGTTGTTTTGGTTTTAAAAAGTACAGCTGAGTTCATAAGCGCTTTTCACAACCCTCAGAGCCCAATCAAGGTAAAGCTAACAATGACTTGGACCTGCACTTGCTGATTCTCTGACAATAAAACTCCTTCAAATTAGATGCAGACTTTACACAGCTGACTTATTGTGACCTCAAGGACTGCTTATACAATATATCTGTACTATTTGCATAATCTATATCTATCTGTATAGTCTTGTACAGAGACTTAGAATTATTCAATTGAAAATTATCTGGGACACTGTCGTCTCCCAGAAATTTATGGGAAAGACCTGAGATCAAATTTTGGAATTTTAGAATATAAACTTTACAATATGGCCAAACCTCCTTGTCAAAGTTTGATCTCGTCAGATCTCAGAAGCTAAGTGGTGCCGGGCCTGGTTAATATTTGGATACCATATCATACCAACTTTTGTTATAAAGCACTTTAAAAACTTTACAGCTGGTCAAAGGATAGACAAGGACAATCACAATACAACCCAATACACAAATCAAACACAATATAACTATTAAAAAAAACAAAAAACAGTAAGCTCTTCAACAACAAGAAATGTACACCTCACTTGTTAAAAGCCAGTGAGAAAAGGTGCGATTTTGGGAGTTATTTAAAAACAGGTACAGACTCGGGATGTCTAATCTCTAATGGCGACTGGTTCCAGAGCCAAGAGGCCACAACAGAAAATGCACAGTTCCCATGCAGCTGCGTTTAGTCTTTGGGACGGCGAGCTGGAGCTGGATTGCTGACCTGAGAGTGAAAAACGGGGCATAAAGGTGAACTTGATCTAGCAAGGTAGGAGGGCTGTAGGCCGTGCAAACAGTTGAAAGTAACTAAAAGAATTATAAAATCAACTCTAAAAGACGCTGGGAGCCAGTGGAGAGAGGATAAAATAGGTGAGATGCTCTTGTGTTTCCGTGTTCCAGTTAGAAGTCAAGCCGCTGAGTTTTGGACTCATTGCAAACAGCAAAGTGCATTTTGGCTGACACCAACATAAAGTGCATTACAATAATCCAATCTAGTTGTCAGTATAACAGTTTCGAAGTGTTCTGCTGACAAAATAGGCTTAATTTTGGCCAGTTGCCTCAGCTGGAAAAGAAAAAACTAGACTTTACAACAGCACTAATTTGCTGATCAAATTTTAGATCTGTGTCCATGGGAGGCCGCTGGGAAAATCAGGTGTCACCACAGGACGCCAGTAATAAAAAACTGTTGTTGTGGTATTTACCCACATTGCCCAGTATGAGAGTGGTGTGTTTGTGAGTGTTGGTGGTGGTTGGAGGAGCAGATGGCACAGATTGGGAGCCTCGCTTCTGTCAGTCTGCTCCAGGGCAGCTGTGGCAACAATAGAAGTTTACCACCACTGAGAATGGAGTGAATGAATAATGCACCAAATTATAAAGCGTCTGGAAAAGCGCCATATAAGACTAATGCATTACAATTGTTAATGTCATGAGAGAAAATTTGGAGAGTCCGTATTTCATGTTCACTTCACTGTGGGTCCATTCATATCTCTTATCAAATCTTTTTTTTTTTTTTTTTTTTAGGAAGTATAGTTTACCGTAAAATCCGAATCACTAACTTGAATAAACTGCATTCAAAAAATCTTGGTTACCCCTGTGTTTAACCACTGCTTCTTCACTACAAAAAAATTAAATGCTGACTCTGTTTATTTGAATATTGTTTCACCTTTATCCATCTCAATATTTTATCTTAAATGAATGTAATTTAAAGCTGCACTATGTAACTTTTTGGTTGGGGGACCATCACCTACTTGCTCTACTTTACATTTATTCATTTACAGATGGTTTTATAGCCCAAAAACGCCTACAAAACCAGGCATTCTGACTGTAAGCGGGGTCACCTCTCCACAGATCTGACCTGTAACTTGGTCTGGTTTGGACTCCATGAAAATAGAAAGAAGAAAGGTTTGATAATTACTGTTAAAGGGACAAACGCATTTAACGGACCCTCCAATGCAAATTTTTAAATATCACTATAAAATGTTAATTATTTGCTTCCAAGATAAAATAATTAATTGAAAAAAAGATCATCATATATTTAAATCGTGTCAACATTTTATTCTTTTCTAATCAGTGAATCTTGTGTTAAACTGTTGAGCCACACTGACATCCTGTGGTCGGAGATGGAACTGCAGCAGACTCTTTTGTAAAATAATAATCCCTTTTTCAAACACTCACCATCCAGATTGTCAAATACTGTTGTGTGCTTAACAAAGGCCACGTCACCCAGGTTCTCCGCCACGCACCTACACAATAAAACACAATCAGAGCCATTCAATTAATCCAAACATGAACCTCCGTGCGTTTATATCAACACGACTCAAGAGGGCGGCGATAATCTCCCTCCAACCCCACGGTTCTAGTTACACAATTTATTAAACCAACTTGAGTGGCGCTGTATTCCCTTCTCAAATACAATTATTACTGTGCCAAGGGCTTGTACACACAGACCTACTGCAACGTGATTAGGGTACAGAGGGGGACTTACCGCGGTTTAATATACACAGTGACAGTGGAGTGTAAGGATATGGGGCTAACGATGGAGCCACGGGAATTCATTACCAAATAAAGACAAGTCTCAGTTTCCTGTAGGAACTAGCTGCAGGTCCAAAGCTTGCAGATGAAATAAGTCAAGTGTTTTAGCTATTTATTTCATTTCAGCAACCGTTTCTGGCTTTTATTCACTTCTAGATACAGCACAATTCTGTATTTTGTGAGCCCAGTATAGCCCAATATATTTTTGGTAAGTGTTATAAGTAACATTTTATAATAATGGTGGAACATGTAAGATTTAGATTTTCAAAAATGGCATACAGATCATCAGGTCATCTGTCTGTGTCCCCAAATATGAGCTAAACATGTTCAATTCAAGCATAGATTTTACGGTAACACTTTATAATAACTACACCTTATTTAGCCTTAAAGCATGAATAAAGACTTAATTAATAATGAACAAAGACTTAATTAATAATGATTCATGCTTAGTAAATGTTTAATAAAGGATAATTAGCCTTCACTTTAGAAAAGCTCTCCAAAAGACTTAACAGATAACAGCTGCCTGAATTATCATTGCATTGCATTATTAGTAAATCATTCTCTCATAGCTTACTAATGATTAATAAATGTTCAAATGGTTAGTTCATGAGTAATTAAGTATGAAATAATTATGAGTAACTCAAGACACAATGGATTCCAGGCACTCCAAAACAGTAGAAAAAATGAACACATCGCACGAGGAAAAATATAATTAAAAGGCCTTTATTTGAATGGCCAAAGCCAACATGTTTTGACCTTAACTGGTCTTCATCAGGGCTAGCCGTTAAAATATTGCATAATAGATTTGGATATTGTTACATCCCTAATCATGAGCCTCTCCACCATATCATGAGCTTTCTCACGATATCACAATAAATATCATACTGTGAGGTTCATACTGTGAGGATATCGTATCGTGAGTTAAACTGGGGCTTCTGATTTTCAAATTGCGAAAGGAAGAAGTATATATTTAAATGTATCAAATAGAGGATGTAACGATATCCAAGTCTCACAATACGATATCGTCACAGTAAGAACCTCAAGGTACGATATTTATTGCGATATCGTGGGAAAGCTCACGATATGGTGGGGAGGCTCACGATTAGTGATGTAAGAAAATCCAAATCTCTTACGATATTTACTTTATTTTCACGATATACATCTCACGGTACGATATTTATTGCGATATTTTGTGGAGGCAAAACCGCTAAAACACTTAATATGCTACTTTTTCCTCTTACAATGCCTTGGCAAGACTTAACCCAAAGAAATACGACTTAAAAGTGCTTAGAACTGTCATTTCTTCTTGTAGTCTGCACTGAAATGGAGCAAAGGATCATGGTCTATGTAGTTCCGTCTGTCTCTTTTTAGCTATTGCTACAAAACAACTCTTAATTTAAGCAAAGATACTTGTAATTCTATATATTGTGATGGTCCATGATATTATTGTGAGAACTTTAACGATACGATATCACGATATTTTGGTTATTGTTACTTCCCTAGTATCTAACATCAGTAGCTTTCACAAACCACTTGGTAAATTGTTAATATGCACATGAATTCATTCTGTGTTGCTTTTACTATATACTCTTTGGTCGAAAAACTCAGATTTTCCCCATAATCTTTCCCTGTCCAGATTGCAGCGTACCTGAGGGCCCCGGTCTCTCCGTAGTGCCTCTCGCGGTGGTTGTTGGCGCAGATGTGGCGGTCGTTCTCGTCTCCGATGCAGGCCTCGCACAGGTTCTTGGGGTTGGTTCCTCTGGGGTCGTGCTGGGGGTCCTTCACGCCCGGGACACAGCTGTAACCGAAGAAGTTCCCCACGGCTGCTCCGGGACAGAAGACGAAGTATGTGAGACGCTCAAAGAAGGCATTGATGGAGAATGAATGGTGACGCGGTTTTAGAGCAAAAGTTCTGTTTCGAACCAAGCAGCTGGAACAGTCCAAGTGTCAGATTTGCCAGGAAAGTAGAGCAACTTTTTTTGTACAAATTATATATACTAGGATCATTTAGTAAGTATTATTTGACAGAGCAAACCAAATTTCTATATCAATTTCAGTACTAAGGAATAGACTCAATACTCAATACAGATTCAAGTACCACCATGATAATAAAAACACTTTCTTTAGACACTAGAGTGTGATTTTTAACTTATAACAAAATCATAGTACTTTCATTTATACTACTATTTATACTATTATTAAGAAGTTCCCAATACGATACATACCTCGATACGTAGGCCACGATACAATGTATACCTCAATACAATGCACTTTCGATTCGATATGATATATTTCAAATCGATTCAATATGGTTCAATAAAAATATTGACTAAACGATGGCTGTGGTTTAACAAAGATGTGTCTTTGTTAAACCGCTTCTTATGCAAAGTTGATGAAACACATTCATTTTAATAATCAAAGCAGTGAAAATGTCAAATAAATGAGTTTCCTTCCCCTAAACAAGCAACAAATCTGAAGCCTGATTCATCAGTTGGTTTCACTTCGTGGAAACCGTCTGACCTCGCAGCATTAGGATTTGTTTGCTCGACGGTAGGTGGGTACTTTTTTTATTTAATCAATTGCTGCTATTTGGTCGTGATGTATGTATTGTGCCAAATCCCATAGGAAGAAGGGCAATAACGTCTTTCTCCTTGATAAAATCACCAAACATTTTCTTTGTTCTGGCTTCAAATCCTCAATCTTGGGAATTGTTGCCAACACAGAATATATGTCTTCGTCTACATCAGGGGTGTCAAACTCATTTTGGTCCGGGGGCCGTATCCAACCTACTTTGATTCCAAAGGGGCCAGATCAGAAAACTCATGTCATATAAACCCCAAAAATAACAATAAGTTCAAATATTTGTGTAGAGAAACGCAAATCTATTACAGAAATCTTTTTTAATTGATGAACTCTTTCTTATTATAATATTATAATATTATGAACAACCTGAAATTTTAAGAAAAATTCAATTTCAACACAATGTTTTAACATGAACTTGTATGCAAATAGGAATAAGTCCATTTATCTTGGAAAATCCTGCACTCGGCTCCACTTTTCTCATTTTTGACATTTTGCTGATGAGGGTGTCACGGTCAACAGTCAAAACGATCGTCCTTTAAGAGCGTTTGGAAAGAGACAAGTCTTCATTTGTGCTGCTCTGGTGGGAGGGGCCACGTACAGAGACGCTGGAGACGCTGCTGTGATAAACACCGCAGAAAATTACCAATATTTTAATAGAAAATATAATTAAAATATTTTTGTAGAAAATCACCCAAGGGCCACATTAAAGGTCTTGGAGGGCCGGATCTGGCCCCCGGGCCTTATGTTTGACACCTGTGGTCTACATCTCGACTGCTTTGTTTACTGTTGTGCTGTTCCACAAAAGGGACCCAGACAGGTGCTTGAGTTTGTCATGGCTTCACAGCTCTTCTCTGATTGGCCTCCGAGGTTCTTGCAAACCGTCTAGTGTATTCTGATTCCTGACCTAGTCGCTGGCAAGAAATGAAATTGAACGGACATACAAAAGCACTGTGATAAAATATTTTAGTAAAATATACCCAAAAATACTCAATACAATAAATTGATATTTCGATATTTTTGCACACCCTTACTCATATCTGCGTAGTGGTCCAGGTTGGTTCCATATTGGTTCATGGGCGTATATGAGTCTTTGTGCTCTTATACTTGTACTGATACAGCTCAAGATCATTCTAAAGCCATTCAGAAAAGGTTCATTTCTGTCCTGTGAATATGACTTTTTTTTTTTTGTGTGTGTCAATACTTGCTCTAGTTTCAGTACTAGTTTTACTTTCGATTAGTATCTGATTCTCGATACTTGACAACCGTAGAGTTTTTCCAATTAGCAATTCGCAGGTTCCAATTATCTATGTATAATGTCTCTGCAGTCACATTATCCTGTCTCCATGGGGTCTCATTATGTAAACTCTGCCTTTTGTACTTACGTTAGCAGTTTACAATTCATTTCTCAATTGTTAAAGCTCATTATAGTGCACATGAACTCTGAGCTAGAGCTCTTGTGGGCGTGGAGCTGGTTGCTATCTGCAATGTTTTGATTCTGTCCTGTAAATCTTGACTTCACAAATGTTTAACACACAAACCCTTTTCTTCTCTCAAACAGAAAACACAGTAATACAGCAAGTGCTCCATTGTGTTTTTAAACTCCATACACCTTGACTAGAATAATTTGGAAAAATGTTCTGCTTTAAGAGGAGAGATGCGTTGTACCTGGTTGAAGCATCAGTGCTCATTTCCACCTGTAGTCCCTGGGCAGGTGATTGTATTTAATTGACCTGAGCTATCAACTATCAGCTGTTCTTCCTATGGAGCATGTTTTGGGTTGATGGGGGAAACCGGAGCGCCCGAAGGAAACCCATCCAGACACGGGGAAGAGAAATGCAAACTCCACACAGAAAGGCCCGGGTGACCTGGGGATTGAACCTGGAACCTTCTTACTTGCACTCAGCATCATACTGCCACACTGCTATTTAGTAGTCTTAGTAGTTCTATTTCCCTGTGTTTGAGTGGGTTTCTTCTGGTTTCCCCCCAAAACATCCTCCAGCTATGGTAGTCCTGACCAAGACTAGCTCAAGATCTGGAGATGGGTCCTCTGAAGTGACACTGTGGCACCTTCTGCTGCTGACAGGTTTAACCCCAACAGCACTGAAGATGGGTCAAATGCAGAAGACAAATTCCTCTACGTGGACAATAAACGATAACCTAACAACCTTTTAATTACTGTATTGTATTATTTCCCCATTGTGGGACAAATACAGGTTCTCTCGTCTTCTTATCTTTGTCTTATCTTTCTCTAATCTCACCTCCCTGTCTCCCCACCGCAGCAACAGCAACAGCAACAGCAGCCTCTCCATCTCCTCCTCTTCACCACCACACCTCCCAGACCACATACGGCCCTTTGGTTGACTCTGACCGGCCCATTTAAAATAATTTGGAATTACGAAATAAACAGGAGGGAAGGAGGCCCCAGGGAAGACCTAGAACACGCTGGAGGGAATATGTCCCTCGGCTGGCCTGGGAACACTTTGGGGTCCCCCGGAGGAGTCGGAGGAAATGTCCAGGGTGAAGGAAGTCTGGGAGTCCCTACTTAGACTGCTGCCCTCCTGACCCGGCCCCAGATAAGTGGAAGAAAATGGATGGATGGATACAAAATTTTATAATTTTACCTATTGCAGGGACTAAAGCGGCATTGCTTTTTATTTTTCAGGTGTTTTTTGTAATGCAAACCTCACTTTTTTCATTGCTTAGTCATAACATAAACTCTTACCAGTCTCACCAGCTCATCAAAACAATGATATTTACTGCTTTTTTATAAATAAATACGATTAATATTATGCAGAATTGAGTTAAGCATTTTGGCCGCCACAATATTTTCTGTTTCTCATGTGACCCGATGGAAAAAATCATTGCCCAGCCCTGCTCTAACTCACTGGAGGATATATTTTCTTTAACAATCCCACCAATTTCTCCATGTTCCCCTCTGACCTCTCTTCCTGCAGGGATCTGTGCACCAGGCTCTCACCTCGGGGGAAGTTGCACTGCTCGCCCACGCTGATCTGGGAGGTGTTGACCAGGTACCCGATGGGCACGGTCCAGCCCACGGTGGTGCGTATCCCGGGGTGACACGAGCTGCGTTCGTGCATCTCCAGGAGGGACAGGTCTGCGGAGGAGCGACGCGCCAGGGCGACCACGTAGTAACTGATGCCATCTAGAGGAAAGAGGAGGGAAGTATTTTAGATTCTTGGCTTATTTTCTGGTGGAAGGTCCGCCAAATGCTTTTTTTTTTTTTTTTTTTTTTTTTTTTTTGGAAATGCTGTTGTTTTGTCTGGATTCTTTCACAGTATGGCATTAAACCTTTCTATCTTCATGGAGACTGAACCAGACCAAGTTACAGGTCAGATCTGTGGATTGGCGGTACCGTTCACAGTCAGAATGTTTGTTTTTCTAGGTATTTTTGAGCTATAAAACAACCTGTAATTGAAAAAAATGTAAGGTAGAGCTGTTTAATGTCACACTGTGGAAATTTCCAGGCAGAGCAATGACATATCCATAGAAACAAACACGTAACAGACCCGTAACCAGAGAAATTACACAATGCACCTTTAAATAACGCTATAAACATTAACATTCCTAGAGAGGGTGAACCTAACTGGAGGCACTGCTCTGTTCTAAACTTTGTTACTCCAAATTATCTGACATTAAAGTGCTTACTTACATACTGATTTTGTGTTGCTAAAGGAACATAGGACCTCATTTCTTACTAATCTGGCATCGTATTGTAATAGGAAAATACTGTTATTGCTTCTACTTGTAGTTATTCACAGTTTTCATTGTGTCTGATTTATATCCTGTTTTGAAGAAAGCTGCTCAAGTCTTATTGGGGAGTAACTGTCCTTGTATAAATTTTGGGGCATCACGACCCAGCACAAATGCAGATGTTTCCTTTCTTTTGGTAATACTTGTTTAGACACTACTATACGTGTTTTGTGAGTCTGATGCTGGTTCAGACAGAGTTACATACTTGCACTGAACAGACTTGTCCTCTTATCCTCTGCCTCTCTTTGCAAAGATATGTAATAAGCTTTTATTTTGTTGCTTCAGTGGATGTTCATTATTTTTAAAAGATAATTTTCCACGACCGCATGAATCGTTGCGTGTTGAGGGACTATTTTCTCAGCAGCAGCGGAATTTTACTTTGCCGGTAAGATAGGTGCTAGGTGATATCAGTCCGCCGCTGCTTTCTGCCGTTTTCTATCAGGAAGTGCAACTCGCTGCTGCTGCTCAGACATAAATCCTTCAAATGCAAGGTTGGTTTACTTCTAAAATTATTCTATAGACACAGACATTCACATGGACAGTCTGGTGAAATAATAGATTTGCTTCAGATGTTTTGTGGAGTGGGTAAGACTGTTTTTAGTGGCAGGATAACTATGGCCATTGACATGCACTAGCCTAGCACCAGTGACCTCTGCAAATACAAGGACTGGGTGGAATAATTTAAAAAGTGTCTCCACACGTCTCCAACACTCTGGCTCACTAGGAAATGAGGTCCTATGTGCAAAATTCCAGACTGTCCCTTTAAAAGAAGTCCCTCTCAAATAATTTTATCAGGCTGTATTTGTGTCTGCTGAACCCATAGACATAGACATATATGCAGAACCCCCATAGAGCGATGTGCTGCAAAGTATGTGGTGGTTTTCAGAATCTAGAATGAAATAATGTCATACTGCCAGATCTCCTTGTTGATTACATTTTACTTTGCCATGAAATATCCAAAAGGTAAATTCAGTTGAACCTGATCATTTCTAGAGTAGAGGTAAGATCTTAAGACCGAGCCCAAGCCCGACCCGACCCGAAATGTCAATCATTACTTCGGGTCGGGTCGGGCTCGGGCTTCAAATAAATATATGTTTATAAAATGTATGCTAAAACGATGTGTGGATACTAAACTAAGGAATACTTGTTATAAAATAAATAATATGGATAAAACAGAGAAGTAATGTAATGTAATTGCTATTTAACTACTAAACAGGATCCGCAGAGCCAGAGCTCTGCGCACGTGAACGCCCCCTCTTAATTTAATAATCTTCCCCTCCGCAAGTCTGCATCTATTTTGACCTGGTATCCCCAATATGGAGGAGCAAGAAGTTAAACTAAAGGCAGGAGAACTGAAAAGACAAACACGCACCGGTAAGAGTGAGGTGTGGAAAAGCTTCAAATTGATTGTTGAAAATGCTACAGAAACTTGCGTTGGCTTCGCTGAATGTCGTCAATGTGGCGCTTTGCTTTCATACGAGAGCAAAAAGACTGGCACCTCGACGCTGAGCACTGCTCCTCCTCCCGAGTCCTCACAAATAAAATATGACATTTCGGGTTTGCTTCGGGCTCGGGCCTGCAAATCAAGTTAATTGGTCGGGCTCGGGCCGGGTCGGGTTTTAATACCCGCGGGTCGGGTCGGGCTGGATTTTTTAGGCCCGATCTCACCTCTATTCTAGAGACCAGACCCAAGAGCTCCCTGTATTACAATATAAATACAAATCTGCATGTCAACAATATTTATTTTAGCTGCTCTCCATCTTTATTGAGTAGTATTGACCTAAGAATGTTGTGATGTCATCTGAAATACAGCAATAAGTGATGATTACTGATTATTGTTTTTCCATGTGGTTGAAAATGTGCAATATTTGTCTTGCCCCAGTACAGATATATTATATAAACAGCTCTTGAGATCAGAATATGTCCACTACCTCTAATTATAAAGCATTTCATTGTGAATTAGTTGTAAAAAGCGCTCAGACTCATTGCAATTCATATTTATGATGCTCTGAATGTATAAGTTAAGAGAGGAATAACTTTAGCTCACAGCAAAACATTCAGAAAGAACTAGAACGGGTAAACATCATGGACATCATCATTAGGGTTAGGGTGAACACATTTTCAAAATCAAAAACTGGCACACCCCTGATTTGGTGTGGTTGGTAATAATAATAAAACTGTGAAATGAGTGCGTAATTAAGGAAACTTATTATGCACTTGGTCCATTCATGACAAAAATGTGAGTCAGTATAGTCACATTTTCTTTGTGTTTTGGTTGTTTTTAAGCAGCTTTTCTGTATTTTACCTAAACAAGTGGCAATTTATTCCTCTCTTTACTGTTGGCAGGTATCAAATTGGTCCAAAATAGGGACACCTGGGACATTTCTTGTATAAAACTGGGACAAAGTGGTTTTGGATAAATCTGCTGGGACAGGGGACACAGGGCTCAAAACTGGGACTGTCCCGGGTAAACTGGGACGTCTGATCACATTAATCATCATTAGCTCACGCAGTTTTGTATTATATCTGCTTATTCGAGTCTAAGTCTGGTTGGAAGAGCAAACCTGCAAAATTATAAAGCTATAATGCTTTATATGTACAAATGTAAGAATTTATCTATGACTTTAAAGCAGAACTAAGCAACATTTTTTACCTAATTAAATGGCTTTGTAAGTCCATGTGATGGTTAAAGGGACAGTTCAGAATTTTGGACATAGGACCTCTTTTCCTAGTGAGCCAGAGTGTTGGCGACGTGTGGAGACACTTTTTAAAATATTCTATCCAGTCCTTGTATTTGCAGAGGTCACTGGTGCTAGGCTAGTGCATGTCAATGGTCATTGTTATCCTGCCACTAAAAACAGTCTTACCCACTCCACAAAACACCAGAAGTAAATCTATTATTACACCAGACTGTTGATGTAAATGTCTGTGTTGACAGAATACTGTTTGAAATAAAACTAACCTTGCATCACATGAATCGTCACATGTTGAGGGACTATTTTCTCATATATCAGTCCGCCGCTCTCAAGCTTTCTATCAGGAAGTGCAACTCACTGCTGCTGCTCAAACATAAATCCTTCAAATTCAAGGTTGGGTTTACTTCTAAAATTATTCTATCAACACAGACATTCACATAGACAGTCTGGAGTAATAATAGTTTTGCTTCGGGTGCTTTGCATGCACTAGCCCAGCACCAGTGACCTCTGCAAATACAAGGACTGGATGGAATATTTTAAAAAAGTGTCTCCATCACTCTGGCTCACTAGGAAACTCTGGACTGTCCCTTTAAATACATATTTTTGGAGTGTTTGAGGCATTTATTGTCTCCACATGCTCTCCCTAATATTTGGCAACATTATATTGTTCTCATGTGAATATACTGCCTTATTTCAACAAAAGAAGAACACATTTTATTTTGTGTCTGTTTCCCAACAGTTTGTTCCCATAAGGAAGCTGGGGAGCTCTATTGTTGAAAGTGACTTAGTTCTACTTTAACTCATGAGTGTTGTGTTAGTTTGTCAGTTAAACCTGTGGACTCACCGATCCCATTGAAGGACTCTCCTGCGGTCAGCTCCAGCCCGTGGCACAGACCGGCCGCGTAAATGTCATCTGCAAACATGGACGCTGCATCTGCTGTGCCATTCTAAGAAAAAAAAATGTTAAGAAGTATTCATATGTCATTATATAATAAAATCAGACATAAGAAAGTGATTTGCTCAAAGACACAAACCACAATAGGAATTATCCTCCAACCATCATCAAAAATGTTAAAAGCCTGCAATAACAGATTTATATTTTTAAACTTTTGTGTCTCATTGTATCAACTTACTTCTAATATACAGTAGACCAATAAACAATATATCTTGGAACTGAAAAGTTCACAAAAATACAAACACGTTTTTCTTCTTCTTAAAGTCTGCACTTACTTTGATTTTGGTGATACAGTCCTGGGCGTTGTCTCCTCGCACACATTCTAAAGTGCCTCGAATGTTCTGTGCTGTGGCGTTACTGGACAGATCCAGACACTTCTGCTCCTCTGCCTCTGACACCACGCACCAAGAAACTGGGAAAACAGAAGCACACAGTCAAATCTTCATCACACCACATACAGGACCAGCATACATCAGTTCTGATTTTAATCCTGATTATTTTGTCAGAACTCAAGAAGGATAATTACATAATTTCATAGATTATCTGACCTTCAAATTTAATTTAACTGAGAAACTTAAAATGTTTGTTCGTGCAGCAAAAGACACTGAACACTGAAGCAGTATGCTGATCTCTGATAATCTGTTACACCCTTGTTTTTCAAAATGTGGTACCAGTACAGTAGTACTGGTGATGGTTGTAATCCTTTAGTAAAGCTACAGTATGTAACATTCTGGAGGTGACACATCACCTGCATGGTTCCATTGAAACAGGAAGTTAAAATCATATTTCAGAACATTCTCCTTGGAGACAGATGTGTTTTATGTCGTGTGGTGGAAGATTATAGCCAAGGAAACATTTCCATGAAAACAAGCAGGAGCAGGCCCTCCTCCAGGCCAAGTGAAAGTCAAGTTTGTGGAGATGCAAGCCCACTCACAGTAAAGATGCTTGTTTTTCAGAAAAAAATCAGTGCAAAAAAAATAAAAATAAATGACTGTGGCATTCAACTCAACATTATTTTCATTTCCACATTTGTAGAAGAACTACATTCTAGTCATGCTGCAGCGGAAGATCTAGTTAAGACCTTGTTAGATCAGACTGGAAACAAATGAAATAATACTGGAATGACCTTCACAGAACATCCCAAGAGATATTTAAATGTTTATTTCCCTTTGCAATAAACGATTCTTTGGATGTGCACCACAGGACTGGATGAAGAAGGATAGATACAGGCCTTGTTGGTTGAGAGTAAGAAGTGTATAACTAAAAAAAATGTCATCACAGAAAATGCCAAATTTGATAAAATAAAGAATAAAAAAATACCTTGTTAGATCCCAGATTGTTCTTTAGACAAGATACTGACATTTTTTTACTGATTTGACCGTTTTTGCTCAGACACCAACAGACACTAAACTTGGACTTTGCATCGCTCTAAAAATCGATGATATAAATCTTACCTGTGCTCTTATAGCCTCCCCTCACAGACAGCAGAGACAGTAGCAGCAGGAGCCCTATGCGGCCTGTTCTCTCTAAACACACCATGGTGACTCTGGCTGGGCACCTGAATGATCCTTTTTTACCTTAAGCCCAAAAAGCCAGAAAACCTGCTCCTTCCTGCTCCATCCCTTATAAAGCCAAGAGAGAAAACAGCAGGAGTCAGATTCATCATTCTGGCACCTCCTCCTAAGTGGCTAATCCTTACCACAATCTCAACATCTAGGATTTCTTTCGCAATTATCCCGAGGAGTTAGACATGGGAAGGCTGGGAGCAGCTGAGGTCACCTGGCGCACTAGGGGCCTTAATTAAAAAGGGCCCCAAACAATGTGTCTCTATGTGGGAGCAACGGATACGTCTGCTTCAGTCCTCCGGAGATGTGGCCCCTGAGCAGAACAGGAGCCCACAAGACCTGCCATTGTGCACCACTTCTGCTATTAGAACACAAAAGAATATATGTTAGCTGTTAGCACGATGACAGGAAGTGGAAATATGTGCTGTGTCACTTTTCTGGGGGCGACCGTCATGGCTGCACAATGTAAAGCAAGAGAATCGAAATCTGAATGGATGCAATTAGCAAATTAACCAGCACAGTAAGATAGATTTTCACAATATTTATGAGTTCACAAGCTCATAAATAAATGCTCCTGGCCTGGTTTTTGGTGGGCGGAACAATCACAGAGCAGCACTGAGGTTTGAACATCAAAACTGAAACGCCCCAAATGAACCAAAACAAAAATGGTGGCAACAACGAACATACTTCAACAGATTTAAGCTCCAATACAGATTATTTAGTTTGTGGAAAATGTACAGAAGAGAAGTGCTTTGTGCATTTGTGAATAGGGAAGATGTCTGTATGATGAACAGTGTTGTGCATGAACGAGTTCAAAAGAACGCGTTCATTGAACACGTTCATTTTTCAGTGAACTTTGAACTGAACGCAACACTTTTGTAAATCAAGAACTTGAACGTGAATTTGTTCAAATTATGTGTGATGAACGATGTACGTCACTGTTGGGGTTTAGTTAAACGTCGGAATTTGACGAGTGACGATCTGCTCGCACTTCACCTCGCGAAACCACAGCCGCGTGTCAACGCGAAGGCGACTCCACCGGCAGCTTTAGTGGAACATACGGGCTCTTGTGTCTCTCAATGAGAAGTCGCGTTTAGCTGCTTGTATTTACCTTCTGTACAGGCTGACCACGGCAAACACAAGGATTTCAAAGGTAAATTTCAAAGCACAAATTAACAGTGTATGTGGATCTGGACTCTTTCACATGATACAGAACTGCCCAGGGAGCACAATGTGCTGATGGTAAATGCACAAATACAACAATAGATACATGCTCTCTGTGTATTTTGACGGGGACGCTCGTGTAGAGCGTCAAAAAATAGGATGGATCCTTTTTTCTGAAATCTACACGCACAGGACGTGCTGCTCTGCGCGCGTATTATTTTACTTGGTACATATGTCAGTAACGCGCGTCATAATGCTTTTTTAACCTGGATTGAAATGGTGGGTTTTTCGTTTTTCTTCATACAAACTTGCTAAAATCACCGCGATATCAGCAGCAGTGAAACGCCGGAGGTGCGCCCGCGTAGACCGTGATCCTGAGCGAAAGGACCGACGCAGAAGTCCGCGCTCCACCGAACTAAACGCAGCTGACGCACGACCGCACTCGGGGTTCTCTCAGGGGCGGTCCTAGATTCCAAGTTCTAGTCCAGGATTAGTCCTGGTTTGGTCCTGGTTTAGTCTTGGTTTAGTCCTGGTTTAGTCCTGGTTGAGTTCTGGTTTAGTCCTGGTTCAGTCCTGGTTCAGTCCTGGTTTAGACCTGGTTTAGACCTGGTTTAGTCCTGGTTTAGTCCTGGCTGAGTTCTGGTTTAGTCCTGGTTCAATTCTGGTTCAGTCCTGGTTTAGTCTTGGTTTATTCCTGGTTTAGACCTGGTTCAGTCCTGATTTAGACCTGGTTTAGTCCTGGTTTAGACCTGGTTCAGTTCTGGTTTAGTCCTGGTTCAGTTCTGGTTTAGTCCTGGTTCAGTTTTGGTATAGACCTGGTTTAGTCTGGTTTAGACCTGGTTCAGTTCTGGTTTAGTCCTGGTTTAGACCTGGTTTAGTCCTGGTTTGGACCTGGTTCAGTTCTGGTTCAGTCCTGGTTTAGACCTGGTTTAGACCTGGTTTAGTCCTGGTTTAGTCTGGTCCAGTCCTGGTTCAGTCCATATGTATATGTATAAGATGCTGAACTTTTGCGCTGCAGCGCAAAAGTTCAGCATCTTCACAGTTATTTTGGTGAGAGTAAATTAAAAGTGCTGCAATAGTCGTGTAATGTTTTACATTTTAAATACAGTAATATTGTAATGTAACAAATGACTTTGAAATGACAGTAACAAGTCATAAATAACACATTACAGTTTTAAAGTCACTTGTCCAACAGTGTATCTTGTAAAGTTGTTGTAAACTAGAAGTCAGTTTGAAAAATAAATGCAGCCTTTCATTTACAGATCTCATCTAAATATAAAATGAACTGAACTTTGAACTAGTTCGAAATTAAAATTGTGAACTATGAACGTGAACTATTCACTTTGAACAAGTGTGAACTGAACTTTGAACTAGTTCATGAAAAGTGTGAACTTGCACAACACTGATGATGAATAATGCTGAATAATGCTCTGTAAAGCGTCTGTAAAAAAAAAAATGTCTGTGAAAAGCGCTATATAAATAAAGACTTACTTACTTACTTACTGTATTTTTCTCTTGACTGGATATAACAAAAGTTAGATTTTTCAGCTTGTGCCACTGCAAATTTTTGTCATGATTTTCTGCTAAATGCTCACTCCAGTCATGGTTCATTATGACTGGAATACTCTCTATTTGACTATTACTTCTTCATAGTACTTCAAAATAATACAAAAATTCTAAATGCATTGGAGTAGAAAAACTCGGGCAAAACAAACCACATGACTGAGTAAAGTACTGTTACTGCTCTACTTCTCACCACTGGAGGCTGGTGATTTTTGGATGGTTGTGAGAGCAGATTAGCTTGGTTAGAAGAAGGGCATATTAAGTTGCATTCACCTTTTAAAGAAAAGAGAGGTCTATTCACAGGGTCAGCAGAGGAAGCAGAGGAGTGAGACAAGCAAAAGTTGCATTTTTAAAAAAAGAATTGTATATTAAAATTTTGATTTTAAATTCCATAAGTTCCTATGTGTCTCCAGATACAAGGTAAACATGTTCAAATCAAATGTAGATTTTACTGATGACAATTCTTATGCTCTTTCTGGATCTGGACGATTATCCAATCAGAAAGCAGAACGAACCTCACATGAATCATTTGGGTTTTCTCTGATCTGAATGGTCACTACCTAAACTCCAGCACCAGCAGCCACTCATGAGTCAGTGCTAGTGCAGCCTCTGCAGCTCAGGGAGGGAATTCTGGATTTTCTGAGCTTTCATGTGAAGCCTGGTCTTTCCATACTGGGAATATGGGTGTCACGACATCAAATTATTATTCTACCTTATGCAAAACTGACTCTAGTGAGTTTTAAGTTATAGGTTAAGTTATAATGTTGTTACCTCATCAAAAACAGACCTGGAGTTGTGCTTAGTCATTCCGCACTCTTCTCTCTAATTTATGTCTCTCTTTTCTAATTTTCATCTTTATGATTATTTATGTTTTGATTTGTTTTATTATGATTTTAATGTATTTCTTATTCTGTAAAGCACTTTGAATTACTTTGTGTACGAATTGTGCTACACAAATAAACTTGCCTTGCCTTGCCTTGCCTTAGTTTTAGTCAGACATGTTTGAGTAATCCTTTATTATTAGTCTGTCTTCATCTCCAAGCTCCAAATGCTCTGTTCCACCTTGTGATGTCATGGAGTTAGCAGCTACCATTTACCTTTAGTTCAGGTCAGAGACTGGCATTTCCAGGTTAAAATTATACATATGAATCTATAAAAGGTCTATTAAAGGCTATTTCAGAGAAGAACTCATCTTAAATATGTACGATCTTTTATTTATTTATTTATTTATTTTTAATTCAGCATGGTCAAATAAAGCATCAAAGACACATAAAAACACATAAATAACACTTACGGTACCTGGGGTGATATGCAGTCAATTACACAAGAGAGCAAAAAACAAAAAACAAAACAAGACCAAACAAAACAAGTACACTTAACTAAAAAAAAAAAAAGTCACATAAAATTTAGCAGGGAGTGATACTGTTATTAAGTATTTCCTATACTGTAGATAGATGTATGTTTTAATAGCCTTTTTGTTTGTTTGTTTTTGACCGGTTTTATTGTCTGGAAATATAGATTTAGACAAACATTATTGATCCACAAGGGAAATTATCTGGACACAGTAGCTCACATGTCACAATGATAGAATAACAAAGAGCAAAAATATAAATAGCAAAGTAAATTCTAAATAAGTAGCAAAATTATTGTTATTTATCATTATTTATTATTATTTTAAGTCCATTTTGTTTCGTGTATATGATATTTGGCGAGCACGATCAGAGTTTGAATGAAAAAACAAACAAACATAAAACTATAATAAAAAAAACAAACGTGCTGGAGGATCGTCCCGCCCCACAATGCATCTGGGTGCTAATGTTTTGATGACGTCACGGCTGGGCGGGCAGTGGGTGGGCTCAGGGTGATGCTGGGTGCTGTTGGGTGCTGTTGGGCGCCGCTCCGCTCCGCTCCGCTCCGCTCCGCTCCGCTCCGCTCCGCTCCGCTCCGCTCCTCTCCCACCGAGAACCACAACAACAACAACAACACGACCCGGGCTTGTCTTCCACCGCGATGCCCCCGTCTCCCCACGCCGCGCGATGAGCTAGTTCCCCCGGGGGCCGCAGGTAGGTGCGCCCGCTCTCCCGCAGCCTCACGCCGGCCTCCGTGCGCCTCTTTGTGCGGTTAGCCTAGCATGCGGCTAACACACCACGGGACTCCCTAAAAGCTCGGCATTTCGTCCGGGGGCGGGCACAATCTGCACATGTAATTAGATAAAATATTACGGTTCAGACACATTTACAGTATTTTTGAACAAACTGATCCCTTTATTAGTTAGCTATCTGTATTCTGCACTAAACCATCTGCTGCTTTTACTACTATTATTACTTCTGTGTGTACAAGCCTTCAGTCGTGCAGGAAGAATCCATGGCAAAAGGAGAAATTAAATTTTGTCAGCTGGACAGAAGTTTATCGAATACGTTTCGCAGCTCATTCAAGCTGCTGGTCAAGTGCTGGTGGACGCTTTCTTATATCTGCCTGAAGGGAGGAGCTAACTACACTGAAACTACTCTGAAACGACTCTGAAACTAACACACCTATGTGTTTATTTTTATATTTTTTTAGATTTTAGCCAGAAAAAACAAAACAAAAATAACATTGGTTTGAGAGGGGGGTTAAAGTTAGCCTGATTCATCAGCCGGTTTCACTTCGTAGAAACCGTCTGACATCACAGCATTAGGATTTGTTTGCTTGATGGTAGGCGGTTACTTATTTTATTTAACCAATCGCTGCTATTTGGTTGTGACTGGTATATTAAGCTTTTCCCAAATCCTGTAGGAAGAAGGGCAATAATGTCTTTCCCCTTGATAAAATTCAACAAACATTCTCTGTGTTCCGGCATTAAATCCTCGGTCTCAGGAATTGTTGCCGACACAGAATGTATGGCTCTTTGCTGATTGGCTGGTGCCCGAACTTGCACTTCTGGGGTTTTTGCGAACCGTGTAGTGGATTCCGATTCCTGACCTACTCACTGGAGAGAAATTAAATTGAGTGAAGACATTCGGTGGCGCCAGCCTGGCTAAGTTAAAGTAGCTATTTTTGTTAAGAAAGAGAATTCTTCCTTAAACAGAAATGGAGGCCTCAGACACCATCCATCTCCTATTTACAACTCCATCCTCAAACCTAAATCAAAACAAAGAAAACAGTATGGATAGCCAGGTCTGGCCCAGAGGTTATGGCCCTGAATGATTCTGCTAATATGACCTTACAACTCAGTGCAGCTCAGTAGGCCTAACTAACAGAAACTGTAAACAAGTAGAAGTGTCCACTAACATCTGACCAGAACTGAAGAAGCAGCTTGGATGAGCTGCGAAATGTATTTGATTAAATAAACTTTTGTCCAATTGACAAAGTTAATTCCTCCTTTTGCTATTATTACTATTACTTATTATTATTATTATTATGCATGGGATAAAGAGAGATTTCAATTACTTTGTATATCCATTACATTTTAAGAAATTGACAATAAAGCTCACTTTGAACTTCAACTGATCACAATATAGTTAATAATTCTTCAAATTTTCTTTTGTCTAAGAATTACAGCTCAGTTTTGCCGAGATCCATTTAGCAAACCTGTCCCAAAACCTTAAATGTCCTAAATTACACAAAATGGACCCTTTGAGACATGTTAGAATGGCTCCTCAAATACATACCTGGAGTTGTGTTTTGTTTCAGGTATATTTTTGATGAAGAAACAACATTTTAACATAGATAAAAATAGCATGATATGGGCCCTTTAACGTACCTATTCCTAAAAATATATTGACAAAACTCAAAATTTTTGAGCCTAACCACTAACGCATAGTGACTGTTGTTTGTCATAAGTATTTGGGGGAGTATGGTGCCACAGATGCATCAACAGAAAGTAAAAGAAAAGTCGGATGTGTTTTTGGTTAAGGTGATCAGACATACCCGGGACAGTCCCAGTTTTGACCCCGGTGTCCTCGGTCCCAGAAGATTGGTCCAAAACCAGTGAGTTGTCCCAGTGTTATATAAGAAATGTTCCAAGCTGTTCTTGACAGTTGCTCTGACTTAAGTCTCTCAGATTTTATCATTGCTCACAAGTGAGTCGTGAATAAGTCATGAATGGACCCATTTTTTTATAATCACGCAGTCCATTCACTCTTTTATTATTACCAATTTGAAAATCTGGTTACTCTAACCATATTGCCTCAGAGATTTATCAGGCCCAAGTATAGCCCCATTCACAAATAGTTCCCAGTAAACTGCTGAGTACAAAATGCCAGAACACTCTGTGGCCCCCATTCACACGTGCCACAGTGTCAGAAGTTCTGTGTGAATAGAGCAGACCTGGAAATGTTCTGACTCAGAACATTTCCAGGTCTGCTCTATTCACACAGAACCTGCATCTGGCTCTGTGCTTTTTCTCACATAGCAAAGCACCGCTACATCCAATTCAGTGACAATGGAACACATTCTGCATTTATGTGCTCTTCAGAAGCCCAGGATTCTGTAGAGCTGGGTATCATTAAGAAGTTGTAAATACCATACGTACCTCGATACACAGGCCACGTTACGATGTATATCTCGAAACAGTGCACTTTCGATTCAATATATATATACAGTCCCAGACAAAAGTCTTGTCGCTTATCCATTTTGTAGAAACAAAAGCTTATAACCTGACTTTAGATTAATCGATTGGTTTTAGAAATGTCTCATATGAAAGCTAAAACCCTCCCAAATTATGCTCAATATACTAAAATAAATTTTCTTCACTGAAGAAAGATTGATCATTTAATGAACACAGAAAGGTCAGATTTTGGCAAGACAAACGTTTTGTCGCCTACAGAAAATTGAACAAATAATTTACTTCAAATACAAAAATATGTTGCATAACGTCAGTGAATTAAGTAGTGGTGCTGTGAGATCTATATTTAATATCTTGTATGACTTCCATGAGCTTGAAGGACTGCATCCATGCGGTTCGACAAAGATTCATACAATTTGTTGATGAAGTCATCAGGAATAGCAAAGAAAGCGTCTTACATGCCTCCCAGAGTTCATCAAGATTCTTTGGGTTTGCCTTCCATGCTTCCTCTTTCATTCTACCCCAGACATGCTCAATGATGTTTATGTCTGGTGACTGGGCTGGCCAGTCCTGGAGCACCTTGATCTTCTTCGCCTTGAGAAACTTTGATGTAGAGATAGAATTATGCGATGGACCACAATCCTGCTGCAAAATTTGACCCCTTTTATGGTTGGGAATGTAAGAGGAGCTAATACTTCTTGATATTTTAGGCTATTGATATTGCCTTCCACCCTGCAAATGTCTTGCACACCCCCATACTGGATGGAACCCCAGACCATGATTTTTCCGCCACCAAACTTAACTGTTTTCTGGGTGAATCTTGGATCCATGCGGCTCCAGTAGGTCTCCTGCAATATTTGCGGTGGCTGTGATGTAATTCAACTGAGGATTCATCTGAGAAATCCACCTTCTGCCACTTTTCCAGTGTCCATCCTTTTAGCAGGCTGTGGGCCTTGGCAAATGCCACACGGTTTTTTAATTGCCTTTTGTTTAGTGCTGGTTTCTGTGCACTGATTCGACCATGGAGGCCATTTCAAGACAGAATTCTACAAACTGTTCCGGTTGACACAGGGACTTGAGGTGACCAGGCCTGGTGGAGTCTGCTGCAGTGGAAAAGGGGCCTTGGATTTTCGAATCAACAAACGGTCCTCCCGAGCAGTTGTCTTGCGGGGTCTGCCGGACCTGGGCTTGTCAAAAACATCTCCAGTCATTTCAGATCTTTTTCTTATTCTTTGTACTTGACGCTGAGACACATTGAAGGTGTCAGCCACCTCAGCAGTGGATCTGGTCTTCAGCCTCTTGATAATTAAAGCTTTGGTCTCAGGGTGGATCTTAGGCATGTTGTCAGAGGTCAAGTTGCAGTTGATGTGAAGGTCTGGTGTGCTGGGGTTCTTTTTATACACACCCACTAATTGATTGATCAGTAACTGATCACAGGTGAGGCTGTAATCTAGGATTGGGTGCATCATATGACAAAGCGACAAGACTTTTGTCTTGCCAAAATCTGACCTTTCTGTGTTCATTAAATGATCAATCTTTCTTCAGTGAAGCAAATTTATTTTAGTATATTAAGCATAATTTGGGAGGGTTTTAGCTTTCATATGAGACATTTCTAAAACCAATCGATTAATTTAAAGTCAAGTTATAAGCTTTTGTTTCTACAAAATGGATAAGTGACAAGACTTTTGTCAGGGACTGTATAATATATTTCAAATCAATTTGATATGGCTCAATAAAAAATAAAGACTACATCATGACTGTGATACTCAAAGTCTTTGTTAAGCCACTTCTTGTGCAAAGTTAATATGAAACACAAACATTTTATTCATCAAAACAGTGAAAATGTCAAATGTGTTGCATAAACGAGTTTCCTTTCACTGAACAAGACAAAACTGTAGCGCTAATATTTTAGTAAATTATACCAAAAAAATACTGTTGGCAATGTATCAATACAGCAGCCCCCGATATCGATACACATTAAACAATACAATATTTCAATATTTTTGCACACCCCTAGGATTCTGAGATGCGATGTTCGGGTTTGGACTTGTTTGCATATCTGATTTTATGTTGGAAAGTCTGGATAGTAATGTCACCATCAATTACATCAGTAATGGCCTACCCAGTAGGCTAAGAGCTGGTTAATTAGGTTGTTTGTTCTTGTTAACATTACATCACTAATTAATTCAATTGTAGCCTCTGGTCTTTTTTGTGCAGATCTGTCTTACGATACGGATAACTGTCGGTAAAGCCTTAAATGTAATCACTTTTAGTCAAAGAGCTCCAATGTGTAGATGCATAAACAGATCAGATGATTTTGGTTCATCTCCTCAGAGCGGTGACGTCAGGTGTGGCACAGTTTTGCCCTGAGTTCCCCGGTTGTTTTTCTGATTTGTGCTGCGTTCAGGTGCATTTTCAACTCAGGAAAATGGACCGCATGAACGTAGAAGATTACAGCTCAAATTGGATAAAGGAGTAGTAGTGTGAGTTCTGAATCAAATTATTATGTGTGGCTATTCAATTGTGCACTACTACTAAAAGGCTCTTGAATACAGGGCCTAGTACAAATTTATCTCACTTCTGCTACTACTACTACTACTACTACTACGACTAGGCCTACCACTACTACTTCCACTTTTACTGTTGTTGAGGTCTGCACTATTATTACTGCTAATAATACTACTAGGCTATTACTACTACTACTACAAGCCCCAGTACTACTAGACTTACTACTACTGCTACTACTAGTACTACTACACCTTCCAAAATACCTCTACCAATGTATTCAACTACTGATAGCGGTAGTACTGCTGTTATTACTGAACCGACTACTACTCTTCCATTTTACCGATATTGGAATTACCATAAATTCTTCTGTATTATGTAAATTGTACACAATGTATTGGATATACGATATATAGATGTGTGCAAAAATATCTAAATATCGTATCTTTTATGTGATAATACAGTATCGATATCGTGGGCTGCTGTTTTGATATAACACTGAAAGTATTTTTTAGTATATTTTGCTAGATTATTTTGTTACAGCTACAGTTTTGTTGCTTGTTCAGACGAAGGAAATTCGTTTATGTGACACATTTGACAGTTTCACTGTTTTGATGATTAAAATGGGTGTGATTCATGTTCACTTTGGTTTAACAAAGACTTTTAGTATCACAGCCATGGTTTAGCCTTTATTTTTTATTAAACTGTATCGAATCAATTTGAAATATATCATATTGAATTGAAAGCTCACTGTTTCGAGATATATATCGTATCGTGGCTTATGTATCGTATCGGCCGCTTCTTAATGATACCCAGCTCTAAAGATATATTGATATTTTGATATTTTTGTACACCCCTAGTCCTGTTTTAGTCCTGGTTTAATCTTTGTTTAGCCCTAATTTAGACCTGATGTGGTCCTGGTTAAATCTTAGTTTACTCCTGATGTAGTCCTGGTTAATCTTAGTTTAGTCCTGGTTTAGACCCGATGTAGTCCTGGTTTAGTCTTCGTTTAGTTTTAGTTTAGTCCTGGTTTAGATCAAATGTAGTCCTGGTTTAATCGTAGTTTAGTCCTGGTTTAGACTTGATGTAGTCCTGGTTTTATCTTAGTATAGTCCTGGTTTAATCTTCGTGTAGTCCTGGTTTAGACTTGATGTAGTCCTGGTTTAGTCTTTGATTAGTCCTGGTTTAGACATTGTGTAGTCTCAGTTTAATCTTAGTTTATTTCTGGTTTAGACCTGATGTAGTCCTGGTTTAGTCTTCGTTTAGCCCTGTCTTAATCTTAGTTTAGTCCTGATGTAGTCCTGGTTTAGTCTTCGTTTAATCCTGGTTTAGACATGATGCAGTCCTGGTTTAGTTTTAGTTTAGTCCTGGTTTAGACCTAATGGAGTCCTGGTTTAGTCTTCATTTAGTCTTCATTTAGTCTTTGTTAAATCGTGGTTTAGTCCTAATTTAGACTTGATGTAATCCTGGTTTAATCTTCGTTTAGTCCTGGTTTATACCTGATGTAGTCCTGGTTTAGTCTTCGTTTAACCCTGGTTTAATCTTACTTTAGTCCTGGTTTAGACCTGATGTAGTCCTGGTTTAGTCTTCGTTTAGCCCTGGTTTAATCTTAGTTTAGTCCTGGTTTAGACCTGATATAGTCCTGGTTTAGTCTTCGTTTAGACCTGATGTAGTCCTGGTTTAGTCTTCGTTTAGCCCTGGTTTAATCTTAGTTTAGTCCTGGTTTAGACCTGGTATAGTCCTGGTTTAGTCTTCGTTTAGACCTGATGTAGTCCTGGTTTAGTTTTAGTTTAGTCCCGGTTTAGACCTAATGGAGTCCTGGTTTAATCTTTATTTAGTCTTCGTTTAGTCTTTGTTAAATCCTGGTTTAGTCCTAATTTAGACCTGATGTAATCCTGGTTTAATCTTCGTTTAGTCTTGGTTTAGCCTTGGTTTAGATCAAATTGGTCACAAAATAGGGACACCTGGGACATATTTTGTATAAACCTGGGACAAATCACACTGGTTTTGGATAAATCTGCCGGGACAGGGGGACACAGGGCTCAAAACGGGGACTATCCCGGGTAAACAGGGACCGTCCCGGGTAAACTGGGGACGTCTGATCACTTTAAATAAAACGCTCCGGACGAAATGCCCAGAGTTTAGCGAGTCCCCGTTCGCTGTGTTAGCCTAGCATGCGGCTAACAGCAGACGGAGCCGCGGCGGTGGACTGGACGGAGCCTGCCCTGGCGCCGGGGAGTCTCCTCGGCCATCAACAGCCTCGTTAACCCGGACAGATCGCCACCCTCCCCCCCCGGGCCTGGAGCTCCGGGAGGGGGCGAAATCACCGGGATAAATCACTGAATATCCCGGTGAACTCTGGGATCAGGTCGTGTATGGATGGTTAGCATGAGGAGTAGCATAATGTACAATAACAAACCAGATACAGAGGTGGACACTTCATAAATTAACCTGTTCTGACTCCAAATATATTTTTATTTTTTATTTTTAGCTGCATTTTGAAAGTTGTGGCGTTAACATGTTATAGGTAGGGCTGCTTGTTATTATTTTGGTCAATATTGAAATCACGATTATCCATAAAAAAAACCAACAACACTTAGTTATTGATAATTTACGCAAAACTTTAAAATTGAAAATAAATATAGGCTACAAATATGTGCCTCAGATCAGTTTTGCAACCCATAAAACATAAAATGAATAAAATATAGGGCTGGGTATCGTTAAGAAGTTGCCGATACGATACATACCTCGATGCAATGCACTTTCGGTTCGATATGATATATTTCAAATTGATTCGATACGGTTCAATAAAAAATAAAGGCTAAATCGTGGCTATGATGATACTAAAAGTCTTTGTTAAACCACTTCATAGTTCATATGAAACACAAACATTTTAATCATTAAAACAGTAAAAATATCAAATGTGTTGCATAAATGAGTTTCCTTTCAATGTCAATGAAATGTCAGTTTATGCCTCTCTTTCCTGTTGACAGGGATCAGTTTGGTTAACAATAGGGACACCTGGGACATTTCTTGTATAAAACTGGGACAAATCTCTGGTTTTGGATAAATCTGCTGGGATAGGGAACACAGGGCTCAAAACTGGGACTGTCCCGGGTAAACTGGGACGTCTGGTCACACTAGCACAGTGGACTGAATTTAGTTTTATTTAGTTTTTCATGTTTCTGCTTTGTTGTAATGCAAATTGTATTTCTCCTTTTTATTTCTCCTTTCTGCTGCTTAATATATTATACTCTTTATTGCAATGGTGTTTAAGGTTTGTCACAAGTATCAAAAATCTGAAACTAAAACTAGTATTGAAATTAGAAACTCATTTGAGCAGGTATTGATACTAAAAAAGTCATTTACAGGACAGAAATTAACCTTTTCTGAATAGCTTTAGAATGCAGATACACAAAGGGTGAGCAGACGTCCCTGTTTACCCGACACAGTCCCAGTTTTGTGCCCTGTGTCCCCTGTCCCAGCAGATTTATCCAAAACACAGTGATTTGTCTCAGTTTTATACAAGAAATATCCCAGGTGTCTCTATTTTTGACAAATTTGATATTTGCCAACAGTAAAGAGAGGCATATATTGTCATTTGTTTCGGTAAAATGCAGAAAAACTGCTTAAAACTAACCAAAACACAAAGAAAATGTGACTGTACTGACTCACGTGTTAGTCACGAATAAATCATGAATTATTATCATTGTGGTATCAGAATCAGTATTAAGCACTGAGTCTATTCCTGAGCATCGAAATCGAGTTTGACATTTTGTGACGACACTTACTATGATAAAATAAAATAGCGTATAGTTAATTATGTTGTAAATTGTAACAGTCTGTTGTTGTGTCCCTGTCAGTGCAGTGAAGATGGGAGTGTGCAGTGTCCCTGTGCTTCTGCTCCTGCTGCAAGTCTTGCACATATCAGCTGAGGACACAGGTAATTTCTATTATTTTTTACATTTAGAAAAAAAAAATTTAATGACTGATAAGAGCCACATATCAGTGTAAGGGTCTGGAGAGTTGATAAGCTGCTAGTCCTCCCAATGATGCTTTGTTTTGGTAAAGATTACAGTGAGTATTCAAATGTGTGCTTGTATTTTCACATATTTTACAGTATATGGGTAAATATTTGTTGTGGTCTTCTATATGAAGATGTTTAAGATGTATGTTTATGGTTTTATATTTAGTGTAGTGTAGGATCTGTAACATAGGATCTTTAAAAGGTATAAAAATAGTCAGGGATGCACCAATTTATCTTTTTAAATTCTGATACTAATTTCGATCCTATGGTTTGATCAACTGGTATCAGTGCAGAGACTGAAAACAGCAAAACACAAAACTGATCCAAATTTGTTATGTAACTGTTATTTATCTGTCAAGTAACGACAGAAGCACTTCGTATAAATCTAACACATTAAGAGGCTCTCTGGGACAACTACAAATAATCTTATTACATCCATTTATATGTCCAATCAGGATATCGGCTGAACTGATATTTGGAAGCCGATATGATATATTTTCAGTACTGGCAGCAATACTCAATACTAGTATCAGAGTCCTCCTTCCTAAAGAACTACTTCCACCATGGTTAAGTCCCATTGTAGACTCAGTATAGTCCTGTTTTAAGTCTGGTTTGGACCTGATGACCAGACTTTCTTAATGGTGCTTGGTGTAAAAAGTTCTAATTTTCCAAAAAACTTGAGAATGCTTGAGAAAAAAGAAAACATTGCCTGTCGTAGCAACCCTGATAACCCCCCTCCCCTTCTCTCTCTCTCTCTCTGTTTCTGTGTGCAGATGGTCCACTGGTGTGTGCGTGTGACCGGTGCCAGGGGGCGCTGGAGTGCCGGGGCGCCCGTTGCTTCTCCTCGGTCAAACTGGAGGGCGGCGCTGCTCTGTTCGAACGAGGCTGCCTAAAGAACGACCAGCAGACCCTCCTCCAGTGCTCCACCTCCCCCTCCCTCAACAAGGCCATCCTCTGCTGCGCCCAGGACCTGTGCAACGGCAACAGCACCCGCCGAGCGCTCATGGCCCTGCTGCCATCAGGTGAGACCACCGCTGACTGGAATGGAACAATGTGGTTTTGGACTTGGCAATTTATCTTGTATTGCAGGGCTGAGTGATTTGGAAAAAAAAGTATGTTTTAATAATAGGAGTCTGTTCAAAGTTCAGCTTTTAAATGCAACCTGAACAGGATTAGCTGTTTTTATTCAGAATAAGACATGATATTTTGTTGTTTTGCCGCCTTTGCTTTTGAAAATTGCGTCCATTCAAACTGCGATCTCAGTTTGCCCTATGGTTTAGTAAAATATATAGTTGGGTTTTAGCATTTGGCGTGGAACATGTCAGCAGCAGTAACAATGGTGCTGGGTTTGTTCTTGTCACATAATGATGAGTTTGAATTGACATTTGAAAAACTATCGTAATTTCTGGACTATAAGCTGCTTCTTTTTTCTCACACTTTGAACCGTGTGGCTTATACAACAATGCGACCAATTTATAGACGGATTATTTGTTTAACTCAGCTCAACACAGTGGATGTGCATATAACCTGAGTGCAGAAAGCGCCGCTGTCTGTGCAGTTGAACCTGAAGCTGCAACACAAACTAGTGCTGTTGTCAGAACTAGTTTAACAGAAAAGTTTACCGCCGTGTGATAAAATTAATTATGATGCTAAATGAACATTAGTGAGGGGGATACATCTTAATAACCCATATGCGTTAAATGCAGTTGGGTGCGTAAATGATGAGAAGAAATGTTTCACACTTCAGTCGCCGCACATCCAATCAAACCTGATTGATAGAACTAACCCCGCTCCCGAGAAAGTCTGAAATCTGCTGAAATCCTACAAAACACTGACATGATACAGACAGGACAGCAGCTCTTTCTGCAGGAGACATGCGCAGTAGTTTAGAGACAGGTGGAAGAGATGGTGCGCTGAGGAAGATTCAAGTTTGTGTTTTGAACAGTTATTTTGCGCTTCATGCACACCCTTCTCATGGAAAACACACGAAGAAATGCAGATGATGCAGCTTTTAAGTTAACGGCAAATGATCTGGCTGTCGAAGAAGGAAATAGAGCTGCTGCACGTGAGCTCGGCATGAATGAGTCGATGGTGAGACGCTGGTGATGGCAGCCACCTCCAGAAAGTTACATACTGTACTTAAAACAAAAATAATAGCAATACTTACTCATTTATTAGTTACTCTGATTAACATTACACCATTTACCAGCTGTACATCCTCACTGGAATTACCCTACCCTACTCTAACCTGCTTCCTCTCTCCTCCACAGCTCCAGAGGGCGAGCCGGTGCCCTATCGCGTGGAGACTCTGGCCCTGTTCATCCTGGCCCCTGTGCTGGTCCTGGTGCTGCTGTCTGTAGTGTCCGTGCTGGCCTGCAGGAGGCTCCACCACGGCAGACTGCAGAGGCTACAGGAGTTTGACACCGAGCAGGGCACCATCGATGGACTCATCTCCTCCAACGTGGGCGACAGCACTCTGGCGGTGTGTGCGCTGTGAATGTCAAGACTAAGACCAATCAGTGATTACAAGACTAAACCAGGTCTTAATCTGGATTTAAGAACTAAACTGCAGCTAGAAGTAATGGAATAAAAAGGCAAAACTACTAAACTCAGATTAAACAAGGGTTAGGGTTAGGATTTGAAGACTAAACTTGGTCTTAATCAGGCCTAAAGAAGACCAAACCAGGATTTAAAAAGCTAAAGGACTAAAGTAGTATGAAGGACATACCATGAATAACTGAAACTTAAAGGCTGAAACTAGGACTAAGCAAAACTAATCCAGGACTAGAGCAGACTAAACCAGTTCTAAACCAGGTCTAAAGGGAGTGTTGACATGAAGGATCTCCGTGAGCTAAAACCTGACTGTCTGTGCGCAGGATTTGTTGGATCACTCTTGCACTTCAGGGAGCGGCTCTGGTCTCCCCTTCCTCGTCCAGAGAACTGTGGCCAGGCAGATCAGTCTGGTGGAGTGTGTGGGTGAGTCAAACATTCACAAAGCATCTTAATAAACCACCTTATTTCTGTGGTAGCGTCCTGTCTAAAGCAGCGAGTGTCTCCTCCAGGAAAAGGGCGGTATGGGGAGGTGTGGAGGGGCCAGTGGCAGGGCGAGAACGTGGCGGTGAAGATCTTCTCGTCCCGGGATGAGAAGTCCTGGTTCAGAGAGACGGAGATCTACAACACGGTGCTGCTCCGGCACGACAACATCCTGGGTGAGTTCAGCTCGACTCGTAGCTACGACTGATGAATGTTTGGGCCAACCAGCTTCCTAGAGAAAACAGCAGGGAATGGGAACGTGATGTCGCGCTTGAGAAGGAAACGCCCACTAGGTACCACACTTTTTCCTTGTTCGGTGTGGACTGGTTCAGTGAAAGTGGGAGATAACAGTCTGTGTATCATTCGTTAATTCGTTTTTCAATATAAAACCCAGAAATAAATAAAACAAAAAAAACAATGATTTTCTTCGGATAACAATTAGTTTTTTCAATTTTCGATTTTGTGTTTAAATGAATAATGGAAAAAAACTGATAACAGCCATTTCCGTGACTTAAACTGTGATGCTGAACTGAACCAGGACTAAACCGTTTTCAGTCCTGGTCTGGTCCCAGTCTCAGTCTCGGCCTGGTTCTGGTCTGGTCCTGGTCTCCGTCCCGATCTGGTCCCAGTCTCAGTCACGGTCTCAGTACTGGTCTGGTCCCAGTCTGATCCCAGTCTCAGTCCCAGTCTCAATCACCGTCCGGTCCTTGTCTGGTCCTGGCCTCAGTCCTGGTCTCAGTCCTGGTCTGGTTCGTGGTCTGGTTCCTGTCTGGTCACGGACCTGGTTTAGACCTGGTTCAGTCCTGGTTCAGTCCGGCATCTCAGTTTAAGTCACAAAAATGGGAAACGGTCGTTATTTCGTATGTCGTATGTTTTTTTCCATTATTCATTTAAACACAAAATCGAAAACTGAAAAAACAAATCATTATCTATTTTTTGGAGACAAATAATGAAGTAAATTGTTGTTTTTTTGTTTTCTTATTTTTTATTTTATATTGAAAAACGAATGAATGAATGATACACAAATTGATAACGCGCTGTCGGTCTTTCCGCCATGGGACAACTTGTTCTGTTGTCGGGTGTATGATCCGTTCACATGATCTGAAGGTCAAAAAAATACACAATGGAATATCATTTCATTGTTTTCCTGCGTGGAAACAGAATGAAGAGAGTTTCATGGCCAGATAAATGCGCAGGAGCTGAACAAGGAGTCGTTGTGCAACAGCAGAACATCCTGTTTCATGGTAATAATGAAGCTAATCATGAAGATTTATCCCAACCACATTACAAACATTTGGGAAGCACTGCACGAACTACACCAACTGAAAAGGCTTTGCAGAATCAACACACTTACAATATCTGAGAATATCAGCGGAGATAAAGCGTCGGGGCCTCGAGTCCATTGTTTTGCAGGTATCTCGTAAGGATCCGTATCATCGATCAAACGGATTTTTTCCAGATAGCGTCTCCTCTTGTCCGGCAGGAGTTTGTCCCTGTACCATGGCGCTCTTTTCCACTAGTTTTAAGCATTCCAAACAACACAAAACTATACTAAACTAAACTGCAGCTACTATTTCACTCACTTCTCACTCAGTTCTTACTATCATAAAGACACGCATTGTTCCCATTCCTGATAAAATACAATTGAATAAATTAATCACATTTTTTCCCCCCTCTTTATTTTCAGTGTTGTTTAGTCTCGTAAAACAAAAGTAAATGGGCTCATTACTAATAACTACATGAAAATAAACAATACAGGCTTTTAATCTGTGTCGTTTAGCCGCGAATATACTCACATTTATTTTTCTAGTCTCAAGTCTTCAAGTCTTCCTGTCTGCTCCAAACCACATGCTTTTACTGACAGAGGATTTTCTGTGGGCCTCTCCATTCAAAAACCTCAGCCGTATAATTGACAATTAGACACGAACATGACTACACTGCTCTCTTATCCAGTTTGTGGTAAACCAGCAGTGGCTTGAGTTCATTGTAAAATTTTATCATTTGAGAGAATATTGTAAATTGACCCGACATATCCGCATTGGCCATGGAAAAAAATAAATAAAACATACCGGTCAATCTCCCTACAGCCTCAGTATTGATCAAATGTGTATATCAGGTGTCTCAAGCCTCCACCCCCTTCCAAGTAGCTGACCAAGGGATTTCTGAATTACACGTATTGTGCTGAATAACTCAAATCTGATTAATTAAATGGCTCGCTGTGGCTCTTTTATATACTGACCTTTTTTAAATGCTAAAATGAGTACCGTATTTTCCGGGGTATTAGGTGCTCTGGATTATCAGACGCACTGTCATTAAATAGTCTATTTTCAAACTTTCTTCACAAATAAATCGCACCGGACTTTAAACGAAACACAACAGTTGGATGGGTCAGTGGGACGTTGTTTGGCGCGTTCACGGTGACTCTGGGCTTTGTTCAGTTGTGGCGTGTAGGGAGGGTGCTGTCTGGGACCACTGGATTGTCGGCGTGTTCGCATTGACTCAGTTGTTCAGTTGTGGCTTGAAGTGGCACATTGGACTCTAGGGCTGGGTATCATTAAGAAGTTGCCGATACAATACATACCTCGATACGTAGGCCTCGATACGATACATATTTCGATACAGTGCGCGTTCGATATGATATGATATGTTTCAAAGCAATTCGATATGGTTCAGTAAAAAAAAAAAAGGCAAAATCATGTCTAAAGTTAAACTATGTCTTGTGCAAAGTTAACATGAAAAAAAATGCCCATTTTACTCATCAAAACAGTGAAAATGTCAAATGTGTCGCATAAATGATCTACAAAACTTTAGCAATGTTAGTAAAATATACCAAAAAAAAATACTGTTGACGTTATATCGATACAGCAGCCCATGATAACGATACTGTATCATCACATTAAACGATACGATATATCGATATTTCAGTATTTCTGCACAGCCCTTGGACTCGCTTTTTCGGTTCGTTCCTCCGTTCCGTTCCTCGTCGGCGTGGAGTGATGAGTGTGGCTGCAGGTGTTTTTCGCTGTGCGGTCGCTGTCTGCTCCGTGCGTGTTTGCGTGCGCTGCGGGAGGTGCGGGTTTGTAGTTTACTAAAGTCGTGCTGGGACACCCGAGTGGATTCATGTATAGGGTGCTCTGGATTGCGGGGCGCACGATTGTTTTTTTTTTGATGGGGTTAGAGGCTTAAGAGTGCGTCTAATAGCCCAGAAAATACGGTAGCTCTCTGGTATTTTTGTTTTGTAAATGTAGCTCACCGGAGGAAAAAGGTTGGAGACCCCTGGTGTATATGATGATGTCTGTCAAAAACATACCCTTAATCCTTATTACAAGGTTAATTTTTTTTGTTTCTGAGCACTCTGAAATCACTCTGTATTGACTTTCCTCAGATTGTTGAATTACCGGGCTTGTTCTGAGCAGTTCTGACCCCGTTGCTAAATGGCTGCTGAAATACTTGATTTTTTATTAGTTCGTGCCTTTTGATGTCATCTCTAAGTGGAGACTGTGTTATACAAACAGGGGAATTTTTTCACATTCCTTCAACTGTAATTATCACGGCAAAGTGACAGTTTAATCTTTGTGATTATAAATGTACGGTTTAATCATTATGATCATAAACGGGATGATACACAAAAGGCAAAAGCTGGTTTTCAGTGTTCAAAGCGTGCTGTATCCCCCTGTGTGCGTGCGTTTGTGAGTGTGTTTCGCCTTCCTCACTCCTCCTCCCTCTGCTTTGTTCATCCTCTTATTATCTTTGGTCTCCAGGCTTCATGGCGTCGGATATGACCTCTCGGAACTCCAGCACGCAGCTGTGGCTCATCACATTACCATGAGAACGGCTCGCTCTACGACTACTTGCAGCGCGTTGCCGTGGAGACGTCGGAGGGGCTGGCCATGGCGGCGTCCGTGGCCAGCGGGTTGGTGCACCTGCACACGGAGATCTTTGGCACGGAGGGCAAACCGGCCATCGCCCACCGAGATCTGAAGAGCAAGAACATACTGGTGACCAAGGACCTGCGCTGCTGCATCGCCGACCTGGGTCAGATTACGCTCAGTACTGTCGCATTCACGCTCTAGATTATTAACCCAGATGTCATTTTTGAAAGAAACTTATGGAACTTATGATCCACAAATGTTGAACCTTATCTAGGGTTCCTACAGTCATGGAAATCCTGGAAAAGTTATAGAATTTTTGTATCTCTTTCACGCAATTACAGCGTTCTGTTACGTTCTCATTAGGTTATTATGATTATTTCTGAACATGTGCGCCTTTTTGTTTTTAGGAGATGACAATAAATGCATGACAGTAATTTGAATGTTAAACTATAATACCAAACCATAAGGTGAGTGGAAAGAGTTAACATTTCATATTTAGCTCTAAAAGTCTGATAAATTCTACACATGTAGGTGCCGTAAAGTCATGGAAAATTCACTTTAGGTCATGAAAAAGTAATGGAAAAGTTTTGAAATTTTGTCAGTGAAAAAGAGTGGGAACCCTGCTTATCATAAGTTACAAATCCACTTTATTTCTGTAGCACATTTTACAAACAAAGTGCTGCACAGAGATCATAAAATGAAGACAAAAAAGGCAAATAGCTAAAATTTGGTCACACCACTTCTAAAATAATAAAACCAGTAAAATCTAAATAACAGCATAACCATAAAAATCATAAAAGCAATAAATAAGTAAAATAAATAAAAGACACAGAGGACCACACGACTCACGCGGTTTTAAAAGTTAGAGAATTAAAGTGCGTTTTAAGACGAGACTTAAATCATAAGGATAATAGGAATAATAGGAACTGGCTTTAAAAACAGTCCCTGACAACAATATTGTCTTTGGGGTTGAATAATGGCACCACTTTCTGAAGCTATTAAAAAATGACATTATAAAATTAAATTATTCTCATTGATGCAGAGAAGACATTGACTTTGTGCCAGTTTTTGTCTCATAAACTCATGACATTGAATCTGTCTTTATATAAATACATTGTTTTCTAGTATTTTTCTGCATAAATAGTTGTTTTTCAGATCGGCACGTCACGTCTTTAGTCAACCACAGCCCATAGTGACTTAATGACACAATGACTTATTTTGGCTTCTGGTCATAATCACGATTATCGATTTAACCACATAATCTCATCAGGAATCCATGTTTCCTTATCACAGTATGGTTGTGTAATAGTGCCTCTGTGTTCACTCTCTCAGGTCTGGCAGTGACCCACTCGCAGGCCGACAACCTCTTGGACGTGGGCAACAACCCGAAGGTGGGCACCAAGCGCTACATGGCCCCGGAGGTCCTGGACGAGAGCATCCAGACGGACTGCTTCGACGCCTACAAGAGGGTGGACATCTGGGCGTTCGGGCTGGTGCTGTGGGAGATCGCCCGCCGCACCTACAGCAACGGTGAGACCACAGAGCCAAGGTTTAGTCTGGAGGCAGTGATGAGGGCTAAGGCTCATTTATTCTGTGTGTTGTTTCATCTGACTCTTGGTCCGTCTCCTCAGAATGTGGAATTTCAATGTGCTATTGTCTGGGGATAGTAGTGAACACAGGTCTATAGTACTAGCAGGACTTTTAGTGACTAGGACCTGCTGCACAATATATGGTTTACCTTATTTTCTTAGCTCTTTTCCAACAAATACAATATTTACCCTTTAAGCGTTCAGATAGTTTAATGTCTTTTCACTTAAAACTTGTCTAGCCCACAAAACTGTAATAATAAAATAATGAGAGTACTGTCTGTTTACATGTTTCAAATGCTTTTCCGTTCTCTTTTCCTTAGGCATCGTAGAGGAGTACAAGCCTCCGTTCTACGACCAGGTGCCAAACGACCCGAGCTTCGAGGACATGAGGAAGGTGGTGTGTGTGGAGCAGCAGAGGCCATTCATCCCCAACCGCTGGTTCTCAGATCCAGTCAGTATTTGACTCTTTTATTTCAATGTTAATGTACCGTATTTTTCAGACTATAAGGTGCAATATCAGTCATGTTGAATTCTCTCGTCTATTTTCATACATAAGGCGCACCGGATTATAAGGTGCATTAAGCGAAACAAAACAGTCAGATAAATCAAAGTTTATTCAACTCATTCACAACTAGAAAAGCACTCAGAGAGCGCAGACCTCCGCCAAGGACTACCCCCATTTTTTATATAAATTGCGATAAAATCAGTCTTCTGGATTAGATCCGGATCAGCCTTTGGAATATGAAAGAGGATCCCATTGTCCATCCCTGAGTCAAATTTCATGGGGTTTAGTCAATAATTAACCGAGATATTGAGAAACAAAATTTTTGGCCCCATTTACCACAATGTTAACTAAAATTTCAAAGTGATCCAGAATCCAGGATTTCTTCCGGATCACCCCCAAAATGAAATCAGTTCTTCCTTTTCACATTTCCAACAAATCCTGAAAATTTCATCAAAATCGGTCCATAACTTTTTGAGTTATGTTGCTAACAGACAAACAAACAGACAAACACCGGCAAAAACATAACCTCCTTGGCGGAGGTAATAACTCAGCCTCCAGGCGTCCACGATCCATTGGCAGATTGTGGTGTATCTCGCCCGGTCTCGTCTTCTCGTCTTGGTGAGTGTGTGTTACTCCACGAGGCTCCTGACAATCCATCAAGCGGTGCGGCTTTGTAGCTTACCACTCATATTAAAGTCATATTAAAACATTTTGACAGATTTTTGAGCTCCATGTACCACGTAAAATCAGTTTGAGGTCAGTAAGCACAACCAGAATTAATACATAAGGCGCAGGGTCGTTTTTTTGAGAAAATGAAAGGATTTTAAGTGCGCCTTATAGTCCGAAAAATACGGTAGACGTTAAATGCCCTTTACCTGACTTTTATTCTTTCAGTTCTTTACTCTGTGTAGCGTAATGTAAAAGCAGGGTCTTCCTTTAATGTAGGCAACAAATGTGCGGTGCAGGATATATGGATTTATGTAGCAAAGAAATAAAGGTTATATAATTTTATATTCACATGCTCAAAGTAGCCACTCATTGCTTTGTCAACAGTGGTGCAACCCTTGGCCTTTTCTGTTCTCGTTTATAATTCTGTCATAACTTTACTCACTTCAGTAACTATAGCAACATTATCCTTTCTTCACTCTTCGTATCAGTACTTTTTTAGTAAAACTGTATATACCACATTTAACATGACTACTGAGCCACGCGATTCTAGTTGCCATGTATTTGAGCTTAGAGCAGTGAGCTTCATGCAGGGTTCACTTGGTCATGGAACCACTGGAAAAGTCATGGAAATTGAAAATGTCATTTTTCAGGCCTGGAAAAGTCTTGGAATTTTGCCATTTCTTTCATGCAACTACAGCGCTCTGTTAAGTTATCATTAGGCTATTATGATTAAAAAAAAAAAAAAAAAAAGAAAGGAAACGTTTTGGGGTTAAAATTATATTTTACTTGCATAATATGTAATTTATTTTTGCTATATGTAAATATTAGTTAAGTTCCGTGATCAATGTACAGAAGCAACCACATAATTTTTTGAAACTACGTCATGAATAGGGGTGGGTTCATATAAGTTTTTCTTCTTCCCACTCCTTTTCGAGAAATGTGCTTTTCTGTTGTTTACAATGTATATGTAAACAAACATGAAACATGATTATTGTTTCTCTCTCTCACAAACTCGAAATAAAAATGAATGAATCAATCAATCAATGATCATTTTCGAAGATTTGCACCTTTTGTTTAAAAGAGACGACAATAAATGCACTGACAGTATTTTGAATGTTAAAAAATTATAATATCAAACCATATTTAGCCCTAAAAGTCTGATCAATTCTACACATGTTGGTGCTGTAAAGTCATAAAAAATTCACTTTAGGATCACGAAAAATGGAAATGTTTTGAAATTTTGTCACTGAAAAAAAATGGGAACCCTGTTTATGATTAAGTTTTTATTTCACAGTTGTGCTTTGTTAAAAAAAAAAACATATTCTGTGTCTTTCTCCTCAGACTCTTTCGGCCTTGGTGAAGCTGATGAAGGAGTGCTGGTACCAGAACCCGTCGGCGCGCCTCACTGCCCTGCGCATCAAGAAGACTCTGGACAAGATCTACAGCTCTTTGGAGAAGGGCAAAGAATCCTGAAAACCACTCTCCAATGTGGCTCCTGACATGGACCTAAAGGAGGACCACTCATTTTACTGTCCAGGCTTTTTTTGGTACCTTCCACCACCTCGGCTCTCTTCCCTTGTCTTAAATACAGACCACTCCATGTTCTTCTCGAAACTTGACGCCTATTACGGACTGCCTTAGACCCTGGAACGGTTGTGGTTTTCCAAAGTTTGAGATGGGACTGGCATTACGCTGAAAGACAATCAACACATGCCAAGAAATGCCACAATATCAAATGTTCACTTAACAAAGGAAAAAGCCAACTTAAACCACCTTAAAGAACACATATTATGCTTTTTTTTTTTGGCTTTTCGTTAGTTCTCTTTTAACATGTTTTTATCTGTTGGAGCTCCCTCTGCTGTCAACAATGAGAAATTAGCTGTGAACACTATTTGACAGAAGAAGCTAGAGATGCACCGATCCAGTACTGATATCGAATATCTGTGCCGATCCTGAAAGATTTGCTTGATCGGAATATTAGTTCTAATATTCTGATGGGTTTTATAATAAATTGATGCATTAAAACTATTTAGTGGTTATAGTTGAGCCCCAGAATTAGGTGCTGGGAATCATTAAGAAAGTTGCCGATACGATACATATCTCGATACACAGGCCACGATACGATACGATACATATCTCAAAACAGTGCATTTTTGATTTGATATATATTTCAAATCGATTCAATACGGCTCAATAACAAGTAATAAAACTGTGGCGCTGTAACAAAATAATTTTGTAAAATATACCAAAAAATACTCCAGGCAATATATTGATACAGCAGTTCATGATATCGATACTGTATCATCACATTAAACGATGCGATATATCGATATTTCAATATTTTTGCACACACCTACTCAGAATGTTTGCATTTTTATTTATACAAAGCTGTTCTGTTACTTGAAAAGTTAAAAAAAACAGCTATGGATTAGTTTTGTCTTATTTTAGTTTAGTTTTAAGGAAATAAATGCTGTTTTCTTCCTCTGCACTGATATCTGTTCATATCAGGTAAGGGCAGATACTTCAACTACTATCGAAACGAGGGCTGGGTATCATTAAGAAGTTGCCGATACAATACTTATCTCGATACGGTGAGCTTTCGGTTCGATATATTTCAAATTGATTCGATATGGTTCAATAAAAACAGTTACTGATACGATACATACCTCGATACATAGGCCACGATGCGATACATATCTCGATACAGTGAGCTTTCGGTTCGATACGATGTATGTTTCAAATCGATACACTATGGCTCAATAAAAAAACAAAGGCTGTGATACTAAAAGTCTTTGTTAAACCATTTCTTGCGCAAAGTTCATATGAATCATCAAAAACAGTGACAATGTTAAATGTGTTGCATAAACAAGTTTCCTTCCTTAAATAAGCAACAAAACTGTAGCTGTGACAAAATAATTTAACTCTTCGTGATATATCGATACAGCAGCCCACGATATCAATACTGTATCATCACATTAACGATACGATACATCGATATTTCAATATTTTTGCACACCCCTAATTGAAACTATCAGAACTGGATCGGTGCATCCCTACGCAGAAAGAGTCTAGAAACGCACAGGAAACATTAGGATTTTTACCTATGACGCAACAAAACTGGGAAAATCCAAACTGAGCATTTTTGAGTGCTCAGAGAAGAAAAAAACAAATGAAGCAAAATAGAAAAGTACATTTTGAACAAGTGGACAACAAAAAAGCCAATTTTGCATCATATGTGTTCTTTAACCATTTTAAAATATTGGAAAAATTGTGTATAAAAATGCCACTGGTACTACACTGCTGAGAATACGTGGATTTTAATGGTGCGATTGTATCCATAGGAATAACACTCATTGACATTTTAACAGGTTTACGGTAAGGATTTGTAAAAAGTATATATATATATTGGTGCTTGGTTGAACTGAAATAGGTGAAATTCGCAGGTTTTAGGCGGAGGAAGCACTTGCGTTTTAGGAACTTGCCTTTATTATAGACGTATCGATGTAAAGAAAAGGAACTAAGGTATTAAGATGTAGCAAGCCAGACCCAGACTCATCGAGTGACTGCGCACAAGCTGCCTGCTGCGTTCTCTCCAAAACACACTACAATGACTGGAGTTACATGTTTCAAAGTGAGAAAGTTGCCTAAGTAAGTGTGTGGTTCTGTTTGAGAAAATGTTGTCGTCTTTTTATATGTAATAAATATATACTGCACTCTTAGGGATAGATGGAAGTGTGTCGTGTGATTTCTAGTCACAGTTTGTCATTTTTAGGCATCGATTTTTAAGTTTTAAAGGTGGATTGTGTAACTTTTCTGGTGGAGGGTGCGTCAAATGCTTTTCTCCATGGAGACGTTATTGCTTTGTCTGGAATATTGTTACCTTTCTATCTTGAAGGACAAAACCAGGCCAAGTTACAGGTCAGATCTGTGGAGAGAGGCGACCCCGCTCACAGTAAGAAATTGTGAGTGTTTGTAAGATAAGAAATGCAAGATATAAACACTTAAATCTACCAGAAAATTACTTAAAAGTAGTGCTGCAAGATAATTTTATTTGATTCAGTTCAAGTTTATTTATATTAGCACATTTAAAATAACTTCAGCTGACCAAAGTGCTTCACAGAAAAGTATACATATATACAAATAACATGTGAAAACTACAATAAAAATACCAAGATAATATGACTAACGAACTAAATGCCAGAGAAAAGAGGAGAGTTTTCAGTCTAGACTTAAACTTTATTACAGACTGAGAGAATCTGACAGGAAGAGGCAGAAAAGGCTCATCACCTCTCGTCGTTTTGGGTACGACAGGAGCTGGTCAGCTGATCTCAGGTTATCTTAAAATAAATAACCTCTAGATGAGAATGAAGCACCTCAGAACTAGTAAATAGATAATAAATCTGAAAACAAGATGAATAACCTGACATAAGTTTCAAAATCTTGGCTAGATCAGAGAAATTTGCTGTGTAATTTTGAAGTATTTTTGAGTAATAAAACCACCTGTGACTGAATAAATAAGGTAGGGTGCCATAATTTAATTTAATGCCATACTGTGGAACATTCAATGCAGAGTAATGAGCTAATCATAGAAACAAGAAGGTAACGAAGCCCAACCGAGAAGTTACATAATGCTCCTTTAAATATATTCATTAGTACTATAGTCAAGTACTAACCAGGCTTAACACTTCTGAAATCAGTGTGGCTGGATTTTTATAAATTTAAGTGTTTTTTCAATATTGATTTTTTTTTAATGTCTTTTTAAATTGGGGAAAGACCAGGCTGGTGCCACCTAGTGGTGACTAGGTCAGAAATCGGAATACAGTAGAGGGATGGTTTGCAAGAACCACAGAAGTGTGAGTGTCGGCATCATCCAATCAACGAAGAGTCAGACATTCTGTGCTGGCAACAATTCCTAAGCTCGAGGATTTAAAGCCAGAACAAAGAGAATGTTTGGTGAATTTTATCAAGGGGAAAGACGTTATTGCCCTTCTTCCTACAGGATTTAGGAAAACCTTAATATATCAGTTAGTCCCGTTAGCGGCGCATTACCTACGTCACGACCAAATAGCAGCGATTGGTTAAGTAAAAAAATAAAAAAAAGCATCCACCTACTGTTAAGCAAATGAATCCTGATGCTGCGAGGTCAGACGGTTTCCACGAAGTGAAACCAGCTGATGAATCAGTCAGAACACGATGTTAGTCAATACTCAGTATCAGTCTAAAATTACACTAATGTAATATAACTTTGGACAAGAGTGGCATAATGTGTTTTGTGTCCATGCACCAACAAAAAGGTGTTAAGTTCAAACTTAACCAGAGCAGCACACACTGTCGTGTCAATAAAACAAACAAACACTTCACCCTGATTGCAAGGTTGAAAAAAGAGCTGGAAAACAAAGATCCATATATAGTATTTTAAATCATTGTTCACATTTATTCACGATTACTCCATATAGAAAAAGATCACAGTAACCAGCAGGCTCATCCTCCAGCTAGGTACTCCTCCTGACTAAGGTTTTTACTAGTGCTGTCATGCGATTAAAAAAATTGAGAGATTAATTAATTATGATCTGTAATTAATTAATCTAATTTTAATCTCACCTAAAAATTGCTGAGAAAAGCCTTCAATTTGAGGTATTTTCATTTAAATTCATTATTACACTATTGTGGCAGATCAAAAGACTGATATAGATTTAAAAAAGTGACTTTATAAAGTCATTTATTGTTTAACAAATCTCTCCAAATTGGCTGTTGAGCCCAAGTCTCCATGAATAAGAAACTGTTTGCTGTAAAGTAGCAAAGACGAGGAAATCTGAACATAATAACTTTTGTTTACTTAAAGACAATAAAAAGTCCAGTCTTTCCTTAACCATATTAAAAATATTATTGATAGAGAAATGCTTTATATATGAGATCACTGGTTTTAGTCCTTGTTTTAGTCCTGGTTTAGACCTGCTTTAGTCCTACTTTAGTCCTAGTTTAGTCCTGGAATGGATTAATCCTGGTTTTAGTCCTGGTGTTAGTCCTGGTTTAGACCTGGTTTTAGTTCTGGTTTAGACCTGGTTTAGTCCTGGTTTAGTCCTGGACTGGATTAGTCCTGGTTTTAGTCTTGGTGTTAGTTCTGGTTTAGAGGTTCACAGGAGGAAGCGCGGTTTACGCCGCGTACGCGAGAAAACATGATCCACACGCGGCTCACGGGAGCACGTCGGTGTCCACGCAGTGTCTACGGAAGGAAACGTGGTCCGCGCGTTCTCAGGTTAATGACGATGATGAAGGTGTGTGTTTGTGTTTGTGTGTGTGTTTGTGTGTGTTTGTGTGTGTTTGTGTGTTTGTTTGTGTTTGTTTGTTTGTGTTTGTGTGTGTGTTTGTGTTTGTGTGTGTTTGTGTGTGTTTGTGTGTGTTGTGTGTTTGTGTGTGTTTGTGTGTGTTTGTGTGTGTGTTTGTGTGTGTTTGTTTGTGTGTTTGTTGTGTGTGTGTGTGTTTGTGTGTTTGTGTGTGTTTGTGTGTGTTTGTGTTTGTGTGTGTTTGTGTTTGTGTGTGTTTGTGTGCGTGTCCCCTCATGTGGCAGGTCACTATAGGACAGTAGTGCAGACATCATGAGTCTATGCAGGTTGTTTTCACCAGTGACATTTAAGTTGTAGGCGATTTTATATTTGTTATTTTCTTTTATATTTCACGTCGGGAGAATAAGTTCCAAGACACGAATGTGTTTTTACGTGTGCACTGCTGCCTCTGTTCTACTGGCTCTTCGACCTCGTCCATTGTGCGACTGACACCGCCAACGTTAACAAGACGTTTACATCACTCTTACTGCGCGCGTTTTTGTGTGGGTTTCCGACAATGAGTGGAATTACCGAAATAAAAAAATTTATAAATGTGTTTTTTTTTGTGTGTGTGTGTGTGTGTGTGTGTGTGGGTGTGTGTGTGCGTGTGTGTGTGTGTGTGTAGGTGTGTGTGTGAGTGAGTGAGTGTGTGTGAGTGAGTGTGTGAGTGTGAGTGAGTGAGTGAGTGTGTGAGTGTGTGTGTGTGTGTGTGTGAGTGAGTGAGTGTGTGTGTGTGTGTGTGTGTGTGTGTGAGTGAGTGTGTGTGTGAGTGTGTGTGTGTGTGAGTGAGTGTGTGTGTGAGTGAGTGAGTGTGTGAGTGTGTGTGAGTGAGTGAGTGAGTGAGTGAGTGAGTGAGTGTGTGAGTGAGTGAGTGAGTGAGTGAGTGAGTGAGTGAGTGAGTGAGTGAGTGAGTGAGTGTGTGTGTGTGTGTGTGTGTGTGAGTGTGTGTGTGTGTGTGTGTGTGTGTGTGTGAGTGTGTGTGTGTGTGTGAGTGAGTGAGTGTGTGATGTGTGTGTGAGTGAGTGAGTGAGTGAGTGAGTGAGTGTGTGAGTGAGTGAGTGAGTGAGTGAGTGAGTGAGTGAGTGAGTGTGTGTGTGTGTGTGTGTGTGTGTGTGTGTGTGTGTGTGTGTGTGTTGTCCCAATAACACATACAAACAGATTTTATAATAAAGAAACTCACATACAGAAACACTAAAGTTAGAGATTAAAAATGAGATTAACGCGATTAAAAAACATAACGCGCTAAATATGACTGTAATTAATTAATCGCAATTAACGCGATAATTTGACACCCCTAGTTTTTACACTGGTGGAACTGTTTGAATGTCAGATGATGATTTTATAAAAAGTTTTACCATCCAGTTGAAATTTTGACATAATAAACATACAAGTTCTTATAAATATGTGGGAAAAAAATAAATAAAAATCAACATTCGGCATCAATAATCAACACATTACACAAACAAAACACATTGACTGCATTGATTGTGCTTAAAGGTGCGTTATGTAACTTTTCTACTGGAGGGTCTGTTACCTGTTTGTCTCTGTGTTTTTATCACCTCACAAAACAAGCAGATGGTGGATAATCTGGCCAACAAGATGAATTCACAAACTGAGAATCCATCTGGCTAAGCTCTCGTAGGTGTCATTGCTCAGTGAACCAGTAGCAGCATCGAGGTTTGGGCAGAACTCAAAATGAAGTGGCCACCAACCTGAACAAACAAGGCCACGAACTTCAGGCTTTTTTAGCAGAAAAATTAACTTTGTACATTTGTGAATGAGGAAGATGTCTGTGCTTTTCTCTCAACTGGATTATCAAAAGTTTGACTCCTCGGGGTCTGAAGCTTCAACTAGCGATGGGCAATTACTCAAATTAATTCAACTAATTTGTGCTTTTAATAATAGAGATTTTGAAAAATTGCAAAATTATGAAATCGAGAATTGTTATTAAACTTTCTTATTTGCAAAGCAGATTTATTGTGCAATTAAAATATCTCATAAATAAAATATCTCATTCTAATTTAAACTATTAGATTATGTATCAATACAAGTGTAATTAAAGGCAGTTTACATTTTCCTTCTTTTTATTGTAAAGAGATTAAGGCTGTACAATTAACTGAATTTTGATCGCGATTTTGATTTGTGTGTCAAACGATCTCCAAACTCATATAATCGAGTTGAAATGATAAGCTTAACAATTCTGGGATATTTTATATATAAATAAGTATATTTATTTAATTTTTTAAAATACAGAGATTGTAGAACAGCTGGATATATAGTTTATTTTGGATACATTTATGTTTTTCTATGCTTTATTTCATGTTCAAAGTATATTTTATTCATTTTTTGTTTTATACATCACAAAACTGCTCTAAGGTTCATATTTTTAGCCTATATTTATTTTCAATTTGAAAGTTGCGCGTAAATTATCAATAACAATGTGGGGTTTTTTTTTAGAGAGAAATGCTGAATAAATGCATCGTTGAATAATCGTGATTTCAATATTGACCAAAATAATCGTGATAATGATTTTTTTCCATAATCGAGCAGCACTAAAAGAGAGTCTCCTGTTTGAAAAGACCAGCAGCTCATGCTCAGATTTTGACTCAAATTCTAATCGTCCAGTCCAAGGTTTTATGTTTGGTTTTATTTTTGGCTTAGTTTCGACCAATCAGACTTAAATATTCATCATGACGTTCTGCCATTTCTCAGCTGCTTTTAGCGAGAGTCGTCTTGGGTCGAGGTATAAAACTCAGTTCAGAGTGCTACAAATATCAGAAAAGTTACACAGTGTACCTTTAGTGTAATATCACATTTGCAGAGGTGTTCATGTGAGGTGGTCCGGCAGAGTCTTGTAGGGGTTGAGGATGCCTTTGGGGTCCAGCATGTGTTTGATGTCACCCATGAGGGTCACGGCCTGAGGGGGTTTGCTGTAGTAGATGTAGTTCCTCTTCTTCAGGCCGAGTCCGTGCTCCGCGCTGATGCTGCCTCTCCTCTCCGCCGTCCACTCGTACACAAAAGGCTCGATTAGCGGCCAGGAGAGCAGCGTCTTTAGCGGGAGACGTGATGTTCAGGTGGAGGTTACCGTCGCCTAAAAAAATACACAAGAAATTAAAGGGTTTTTCCATGTGTTGTTACAAATGCCGTTAAAGCAAACACCTATAAAGGGAGAAATGAGAGATATCAGAATAGCAAAATTTAGCTTTATTCATATAGTGAGAAGATACATTAAAGTTGTTCATGATTTATAATATCATGATCAAACAACAATGAAACCCTTAATTTTCTTTCCTTCACATTGTCCGATACATTACCATTCCTCGAGTATGTGACCAGCGACCAGCTTTATGAGATCTTTTTTTTTTTTTTTAATGATCACGTAAAATGTATGCGAAAAAGCCAAAAGCCAGCTATAAAAAGTATGCAAGTTTACTATTAGGGGTGTGCAAAAATATTGAAATATTGATATATCGTATCTTTTAATGTGATGATACAGTATTGATATCAGGGACTGCTGTATTGATATATCCCCAAGAGTATTTTTTCTTATATTTTACCAAATTATTTTGTTATAGCGCTACAGTTTTGTTGTTTGTTTAGAGGAAGGAAATTTTTTCATGCAACACATTTGAAATTTTCACTGTTTTGATGATTAACTTTGCACAGGAAGTGGTTTACATGAGTTAGGCTTTATTTTTTATTGAACTGTATCGATTCGATTTGAAATACATCATATGGAATCGAAAGCTCACTATATTGAGATATGCATCTGTAGCGGCTTCTTGACCAGTCTTATGGACGCTCGGGAAGATCAGAGTGGGTCCTGGGGTCATAGTTTTGTGACGCACTTCGAAGCTGTTGTAAATTAATACGCTGGGATCCAGAATGCATTTTGACCAGACATACAGCTGTCACAACGCAGCAAAGAAGATGGATAAAACCAGTTGGAAAATAAAGGGTGAGTAATAGAGGAAGAGTGGCAATCAACAAAAATGACGGCTACTCAGTATCGTATCGTGGCCTATGTATCGAGATATGTATCGTATCAGCAACTTCTTAATGATACCCTGCCCTATTTACTATTATTAGAAATTACAAAATTCTCACAAATATATCCTACAATATATTATTATTTCGTTATTTAGTCTTTTTGTCTTTTTCTCATGCTTAAAGTAGAATTTCTTTCTTTTTTTTTTTTTTTTTTTTGTCTACTGTTAAGATGATACACAATTTTTCTTTTTCTTGCTAAATTTAAAGGCCAAAAAAAGGCGGCAGATGAGAGGACTATAAATAAGTTGGTGACAATGGTTGCCATAGCTGCTGTCACTAGAGACTCCTCTGAAATAGATACTAGTGTGTACAGTAATATACTTTAATACACTATAATGCACCATTTCAGTGTGGAAAAATCAACAGGCACTAATGTAGAGTCAATTATAGCTTTTATTTTACTTTATAATAATACAGAAGACACACTACCGGTCAAAAGTTTTACAACAGCCTAATTTTTTCCAGTTATTTATTGCAAATCAAGTCGTGCAAGTCCAAAGAAGAGCTTGAAATGATACAAAGGTAAAAACTGAACAGACAGAGGTAAAAAAAAAAAAAAAAGATAAAAGATACAAAACACAAGTCCAAGCTCTGCCAAAACTACCTCAGGGAAAAAGAACAAGATGGTGAGTTTGAAAACTTGGAGTGTCCAGCACAGTGTCCAGACTTAAACCCGTCGAGCTGGTTTGGGATGAACTGGACAGAAGAGACAAGAAACCTACAAGTGCCACACATTTATGGGAACTTCTGCAACAGACTTGGGAAGAACTTTGTGAAGAATATTTGATCTTTTCTATTGTAAAAAGAACGAGCCACGAGTGTGTTCAGCTGTTATATCTGCCAAAGGTGGACACTTTCCTCAATCAAAAGTTTAGAATATGTTTTGGTCAACAGTAAACAGTAAAAAACTGGAAAAAGTGTGGTGTTCTAAAACTTTTGACCAGTATAATCTGCTTGTGTTTGGATTGAATGTGTCCTGAGCTTTGTTTCACTAAAAGGTAAAATTACTACTTTGTATGAATTCAAAATTATTAATGAGAAAATTTGAGGGCTTTAAAAAAAATTCGTCAAACCACACATTTTAAGAAAATATTAGTATATTTTCTTAACTCACTGTGACAAACTAACCAATTTAAGTATATGGTTTCAATTAAGGATTTTCCCACCAACTCCAGGGTAGATGTAGTCAGGCCGGCGCCACCTAGTGTCTCAACACAATTTAATTTCTCTCCAGCGACTAGGTCAGGAATCAGAATACACTAGACGGTTCGCAAAAACCTCAGAAGTGCAAGTTCATGCACCAGCCAATCAGCAAAGAGACATACATTCTGTGTTGGCAACGATTCCTGAGATCGAGGACTTAAAGCCGGAACAAAGAGAATGTTTGGTGAATTTTATCAAGGGGAAAGACGTTATTGTCCTTCTTCCTACGGGATTTGGGAAAAGCTTAATATACCAGTTAGTCCCGTTAGCAGCTCATTACATACGTCACAACCAAACAGCAGCGATTGGTTAAATGAAAAAAAAGTACCCGCCTACTGTCTAGCGAACAAATTCTAACACTGTGAGGTCAGATGGTTTCCACGAAGTGAAACCGTCTGACCTCACCATCATGATGAATCAGGAGTTGCTGGTCCTAACCTTACGAAACAGGAAAACACACACAAAAGTTTTTGTAGAAGTGCAAATGCAAGGGACAGTAAAATAAAAGTGAAAAAATGCATAGCGCACTCAGATGGCCGATGTCCAAAAGCTTTTTTTTGCATTTTTAAAATAACGTTTCAGCAAAAAAAAGCCTTTGTCAGATCATTTTTATTGCTTTGGACCACAAAATACAAACCTTAACCCAAGCGCATTCAGTTTTTTTCTAACTTTGTTCACACAGAAGCCTTCTTTAAGCATATTCCCAGTATTTTATCTGATCAAAAATACAGTGAAATCAGTTGTGGCTTTGTTCTCACATGATCCTGTTCTGGTAAATGCAGATAAACTCTAGAGTCAGAGAATTTAAGTCTTTTATCCTCCACCTACATCTCTCAGTTTAACATTGACTCACAAAAGCTGAATTTACACCATGATCTTCTCTTGGTACACTATTGGCATACTAAATTGTGGCATATTGCTGACTAACCACTGCCTACTGCTTTGATAGTCTCTCCACACTTGCTTTATAAACCTTTGGAAGCAGAGTGAAAGGGCTTGAACACTCAAAGATCACACTATGTTCACTTTTGAAATCATACTATGTTGATTGTTGAACTTCTCCTGCTTATGACATCCTTTTAGTCTACACCCTTTTACTTTCACTCTTTCTTGGACATTTAAAGCCCCGTTTGTTGTTGATTTCTTACCCACGTGTCCGTATCCCACCACACTGCGCGCTCTGGGGCCCAGGTGCTGCCTCATGTCCTGGACCAGGCTGTAGATGAGCTCCACGGGGAGGGAGATGTCGTACTTATACGTGAAGCCGTCATGGGTCAGAGCCTCGGTCACTCGCTCACGCATGGACCACAAGGCCTGGAGACGGAGAAGAGCTTCAGTGTCATTACAGGACAGGCACAATTAGGTTCACACGTAAACGTTTAATTCAATAAATATACATGATTATACATAAATACTCAAGTCATTAAAGCCACATGATGTTAGCAGAATTTTCTTTAATGTTAGTCTTAAAAGTTCAAATATTTATGGACACCAATGGCTAAAACGTATTTGAATCATTTACAAAATATGTTAATAAATTACTAGGGATGAAACAGCTTGGGGGCTGCCACAGTGAAAGTCTGTAACGCAGTTTAAGACTAGACTGAAAACTCACCTCTTCTCGCTGGCATTTAGTACGAGCTAGTCAGGTTATCTTGGTGTTTTTATTGTAGTTTTCACATGTTGTCTGTATACCGTATTTTCCGGGCTATTAGGCGCTCTGGATTATAAAGCGCACTGTCATTAAATGGTCTATTTTCAAACTTTTTTCATCAATAAACTGCCCCGGACTTTAAACGAAACACAACAGTTGGATGGGTCAGAGGTTTTGTTTGTTTGTGGTTCACGGTGACTCTGGGCTTTGTTCAGTTGTGGCGTGTAGGGAGGGTGCTGTCTGGGACCAACGGATTGTCGGCGTGTTCGCAGTGACTCAGTTGTTCAGTTGTGTCAAGAAGTGACACATTGCACTCGCTTTTTCGGTTCGTTCTTTCCTTCCTTTTATGTGAAACACTTTGGTTAGCTGAAGTTGTTTTAAATGTGTTAATATAAATAAACTTGAATTGAATTGACACTTGAAACAAGATCAAAATTGTGCACGTGAGAAAAATTATCATGAGATTTTTTCCTCCCAAATTTACCTTTGGCTTGGACAAAAAACAGGCTAAGAGCTGGTGAGTTATACAATTTGAGAAGCTGTAGTTCCAAAAAAACGTACAATGACCGCTACAGTATTACATAAAATGAATAAAAATTGTATCCCTATAAATTACATTTGGCGAACCCTACACCAGAAAAGTTACACAATGTTCCTTTAATATCATGATGTGATCAGCTTTATGAAATCAGTTTTTCCTGAATGATCAAATAAAATGTATATGACTCCAAAAGCCAGATAAAAAAAGCACACAAGTTTACTATTACTGAAGTATTGAGTGAATTGAAATGAAATCTTGCTTACTAAATTCTCTTCCAAAAAGCAGTACTACGATGACCGCTAAAGTATTACATAAAATAAATAAAAATTGTGAAGCCAGAAATGTGAAATGAATTGCACTTCTTATTTATTACAAATTATGTCAAAATCTTGTCTCGTCTCTTTTTCGTGGACCTGATCTCGTGGTGCGTCTCGTCTCAGGAAAATTGTGTCTTGTCCCACTCCTATAAATTACATACGTTCATTTTTTTCACTCTTATTCTGTATACACTGTATGTTTTTATACTTTGGTTTTATATTTAGTCAGAATCTTTATTCTAACACCGTATTTCATGCATGTCTTTTATTTTATCATAGTTCATATGTCAACTAATATAATTTTTAGTTAAACATTTCACCAGAGCAAATTCCTAGTTGGTGAATTTTGTTCACCGACAACGGCAATAAACCTTTTTTCAGAATTTTGTTCTGAAAATAAATACATTTTAAAGTCATTTAAAAGCCAAAGCAGGCAGTGAAACCTCTGCACTTAGTTAAAATGGATAATTCAATGTAAAGAAATATATTTTTTATGAGTGAGAATATTTTAGTAACATTTTGATGGGTCGTTCCACGCCAAATCTCCAAATGCCCTCCGCTCGACCATCTCAGATTTGACTGAAAAAAATTCTAGGAGGTTCACACACTTTCCCCACAGGAAAAGTCCCACATTTTAGCTCCAAACTCCTTATAGCTTTGTCATTAAAAAATATTTCGTTAGCTCCCCCCTGATCTGTTTTGAGTTTTCCAAGGAGCCGCTTTCAGATGCTGTATTTAAAAAACTATCTAAGGTCGGTCCTTCAAATTTTCAAGGGTTAAAATTTGGCAAATGTACTTGTAGAATCTGGAATTTACACATGTGCTTTTGATTTAACACAAATTTCTGAGAGCTTGAATTTGCTTGGAAATTCTCCTCTTCAAATATGAGTGTATCTTTGAAGGACTGTGGAAAGTGCAATTTCAAAGACAGAGGTTTGATATCGAACATACACCTTCCCACACATGCTGGGTACTTTGTATTTTAAAACTGACCCTCTGTGATGAAGCGCTAATTTGGTACTTTTCCAGTTGGAAAGTGTGTGAACCTCCTAACATTTTTTTTTTGTCAAATCTGAGATGGTCGGGCAGGGGCATTCGGAGATTTGGCGTGGAGTGACCCTGATGGTAAATAGAACGGAAATCAGCACTGAAATCCACTTTTTGAATCATTTAATATTCAGTTTGTACCTTGATTTTGGACTCCTCTGTCGCCACCGTCCCATCAGTAACCACAGACGTGTTCATTGCTTCGTCGAGGAAATTGTGGAGCTTTTCGCTGTCGTGATTCGGGTCAGATCCTGCCGTTTCTATGACGATGTAAAATGGGCAATCTGAAAAAAAAAAAAAAAAGTCCAACATTTTAATACATATTTCTGGTTTTGTGTCATATTACTGCGTGTTGTTTACTCTGTGCGGTACCTGAGATGGGGTTTGGCAGTTTGAGGTGTGTGTTGAGCAGCCTCATGCATTCACTGTCCAGAAACTCAAACGCAGACAGGATTTCTCCCAGCATGCCTCTGCAGAGCTGGAACGTCTTCAGGAGTTGTTCAAATGTATCACAACCTGAAATAATACAGTAATAAATAACAGCTCATTCACTTCACAAACTCACAAAAACAGTGACAATACATTTTAAAACGTAAAAAGGTTGAATTAATAAGTTTGTAGACAAATTAAGCATTATAGTGTTTCATTCTGCTGTTTATTTATTGCTTTTTTTATTTTTTTTATCACCAGTGCCAGTACAAATGAATGACTGTAACTGAACAGGTAATATTCAGCTATTTCGGTTTTCAAAATAAACACTAAAATAAGAAAACAAAACAACTATTTTCTTTGTTATTTGTCTCCAAAACCGAAATGAAAACATGGATAACAGTTTGTTTTTTCAGTTTTCGATTTTGTTAATGAATGATCCCAGGACTGAACCAGGACTAAACCAGGACTGAACCAGGACTGAACCAGGACTGAGTGTCGGGACGGGCCCGAAGGTGCGCCCGCGTAGACTGTCGGGTGACATCCCTCGCTCTCAAGTCCAAGGTAAGACCTGGTTTAGTCCTGGTTTAGACCTGGTTTAGACCTTGTTTAGACCTGGTTTAGTCCTGGTTTAGATCTGGTTTAGTCCTTGTGTAGTCCTGGTTTAGTCCTGGTTTAGTCCTCGTTTAGACCTGGTTTAGACCTGGTTTAGTCCTGGATCAGACCTGGTTTAGACCTGGTTTAGACCTGGTTTAGTACTGTTTTAGACCTGGATTAGACCTGGTTTAGTCCTGGTTTAGACCTGGTTTAGTTCTGGTTTAGACCTGGTTTAGACCTGGATCAGTCCTGTTTTAGACCTGTTTTAGACCTGGTTTAGTTCTGTTTTAGACCTGGATTAGACCTGGTTTAGTTCTGTTTTAGACCTGGTTTAGTTCTGTTTTAGACCTGGTTTAGTTCTGTTTTAGACCTGGTTTAGTCCTGGTTTAGACCTGGTTTAGTCCTGGTTTAGACCTGGTTTAGACCTGGTTTAGTCCTGGATCAGTCCTTGTTTAGACCTGGTTTAGACCTGGTTTTAGACCTGATGTTCTGTTTAGACCTGGTTTAGACCTGGTTTAGTCCTGGTTTAGTCCTGGTTTAGACCTGGTTTAGACCTGGTTTAGACCTGGTTTAGTTCTGTTTTAGACCTGGTTTTAGACCTGGTTTAGTCCTGGTTTAGACCGGGTTTAGTCCTGGTTTAGACCTGGTTTAGACCTGGTTTAGTCCTGGATCAGTCCTTGTTTAGACCTGGTTTTAGACCTGGTTTAGACCTGGATCAGTTCTTGTTTAGACCTGGTTTAGACCTGGTTTAGTCCTGGTTTAGACCTGGTTTAGACCTGGTTTAGACCTGGTTTAGACCTGGTTTAGTCCTGGTTTAGACCTGGTTTAGACCATATGCAGCGCAAAAGTCCGGCATCGCAGCAGAAAGGGGAAACGTCCGTTATCAGTTTTCTCCATTATTCATTTCAACACAAAATCGAAAACTAAAAAAACTAATCATTATCCGTTTTTTTTTTTCATTAAATTTTTTTCATTTTGATTTTGATTAGATTTTTTGGTTTTATTTTGAAAAACAAATGACCGGATTATTAGCGTACCTAGGAACACCACATTGACAGACTTGGGTTTGCGTGGACAGAGCACAGACACGGCGGTGATGACTCCCAGCGTTCCCTCTGAGCCGATGAACAACTGTTTGAGGTCGTATCCTGTGTTGTCCTTTCTCAGAGTGTTCAGACAGTCCAGCACCCTCCCATCAGCCAAAACCTACACAAGAAAAGAAATAAAGACGCATTTTATTGGGCTAAGTGATTGGACTGTTGTGGGCAGAGTTGTGGTTTAGTTTTTGGTTTTCCAAAAAATTATGCAGAAAAGAGGGAGCCACTGTCTTTGAATGAGCATAAGTTTGTTGTCTGTAATGACATTTCCATGGAAACAAGCAGGAGAGGCCCTCCTCCAGACCAAATAAGAGTCAGGTTTGAGGAGACGCAAGCACAGTAAGTTTGTAAAATCCCTCAGTCGTCGGTAGAGTCCATGGCAAAAGGAGAAATTCAATTTGTCAACTGGACAAAAGCTCATCCAAGCTCCTTTCAATCTTTGTCCAAGCAAAGTAAGGACACATAGTTTTCCAAGTTTTACAGTGCAACAAAAACATCAAAGTATTTTGGCTAAAAAGTTACATACTGTGACTTTAAGTTGTCTGATTATAGAAGACGCATCACCCACAATACCCAGAAAAAATAAAAACAAAAACTGGTTCAAAATGTATAATGTATGAGCCAACAGAAGACCAAAATGTGAATAGTTAGGGCATGTTTTCCACATTATTGCCTTAATTCATTCTAGATAAACTATACAATATACACAATAATAGCAGCGCAGTGGCCTCACAGCAAGAAGGTTCCGGGTTTGATCCCCAGGTCGCCCAGGTCAGATGTGGAGTGGAAATTAGCACTGGTGCTACAACCTGGTACAATGCATCTCCCCTGTTAAGTTTCACGTAAAAATTGTGCGCTGTCCCTGTCTCATTAAATAAATAAACTAGGGGTGTGCAGAAATATCAAAATATCAATATATCGTAACGTTTAATGTGAGCATCTGTACAATGAGCTGCTGTATCAATATTTTGTGAAGAGTATATTTTGATGTATTTTACTAAATTATTTTGTTGTAGCGTTACAGTTTTGTTGTTTGTTTGGAGGAAGGAAACTTGTTTAAATGCAACACACTTGACATTTTCACTGTTTTGATGATTAAAATGTTTGTGTTTCATATTCACTTTGCACAAGAAGTGGTTTAACAAAGACTTTTAGTATCACAGCCATCATTTACTTTTTATTTTTATTGAACCGTATTGAATCGATTTGAAATATATTGTATCAAAATGAAAGTGCACTGTATCGAGATATGTATCGTATCGGCAACTTCATAATGATACCCAGCCCTAATAATAAATTCATAGCAGTGTTACCACAATCTATGATCTATACGTAGATTAACCACAATGACAATAATTATGGCATTCTGGAAAGATACATCTCCTTCACAAAAATACATCAACTTCATCTTGTAATTTAGCCCGACCTTGTATAATAACGGACTTAACTGTGTAGCAATTGTTATTTCAGTCCCAGACAACTCACCACTTCCAGCCCCAGCACAGTTCCTCTCAGAGAGCCGTAGCGCAGCAGCCTGAGCCCGCCTGCGTTTGTGGCCACGTTTCCTCCGATATGGCAGCTTCCCTTCGCCCCCAGGTCCAGAGGCATGATGTAGTCCCTCTCCTCCAGGTACTGGGACAGACTCTCCAGCACACAGCCCGCCTGGCACGTCACTATACCTGCAAGTTAAACAAAACAAACTCCGGGTAAGTTTTTGAGGCAGTAACAACATTCTAACATGACTAAACGCTCACAAGAGTCAATTTTGCATAATAGGGGATCTTTAGACGACTATTATAATATTTTGTAGTTATATTTGTTGCCATTTATGCCGATATGAAACAACAAAGGATTATTGTCTCTCATTGTTGCTGCCCAAATCTGCACTTACCAGAGACGTGGTCGAAGTTGAGCACGTTGTTCATGAGAGCGGTGGACAGGATGATCTCGTCATACACCGGAACACTGCCCCCCACCAGACCAGTGTTACCCCCCTGAGGGTTCACGGCCAGGTTACGGCTATTACAGTACCTGTCATTACAAGAGGAATGAAGCAGTTGTTATATTATTGTGCGTATTGTAAACATTCTAACGTAAAAGTCTTCAAATAGGGCTGGGTACGTTTCCATAACCATAAAACCACAGACTGAATAAAGACGTGGACTAAGGGAGTCTGACGTCACCCACCCAGGTCTGTATTAGCAATAGGAATTGATTTACAGAAAACATACAAGGTTCCCATGGTTTTTCACTGACAAAATTTCAACATTTTTCCATGCCTTTTTCATGACCTAAAGTGAATTTTACATGACTTTACGGCACCTACATGTGCAGAACTGATCAGACTTTTAGGGCTAAATATGAAATGTAAGTAAGTAAGTAAGCTTTTATTTATATTGCACCTTTCACAGATGAAAAAAAGTGCTTTACAGAATGCAATAAACAACATAAACAAGAACAGAGGAATTACAGACACAGTCAACTAAAAGCCTGTCTAAAAAGCAGTGTCTTGAGCTGCTTTTTAAAAGAGTCTAGAGGGTCTGCCTCATGGAGGGCTAGGGGAAGGGAATTCCATAATTTGGGAGCCACAGCCTGAAAGCACAAGTCACCCCCGGTTTTAAATCGGGTCTTTGGGACCATCAAGTGACCCTGACCAAGAGGACCAGAGGGTGCAGCCTGAGCAGTAGGGGCGCAGTAAGTTACTGATGTACTGCCAGTCCATTTAAAGCTCTGTAAGTTAAAACCAAAATTTTAAAATCAACATGAAAGTTAACAAATGTTGGTACTGGTTTTTTTTTTTTGTTTTTTTTTTAAATACTGTCATTGCATTTATTGTCGTCTCTTTTAAACAAACAAACAAACTCTTTTAAAAGGCACAGACGTTCAGAAATAATCATAATAGCCTAATGAGAACTTAACAGAACGCAGTAGTTGTGTGAAAGAGATACTAAAATTCCATGACTTTTCCAAGCCTAGAAAGTAACATTTTTAATTTCCATGACTTTTCCAGGATTTCCATGACCATGGGAACCCTGAAAATAGCAAAACAAAACCACCAGGATCATATAGATTGGGTTCATATGAACATTTTAAGGCCAAAATGACAAAACTCACTGCCATAGTTACAGAGAGAGGAGAATTTTTCAACGTAATGTCAATTGGAATTTATATTATTTGTAACGGGGGGGCTAGCGGGTTACCTATGTCCATTTATATTTACAGTCTGTGCATAAAACTGAAAAACATGGTTCATTATGACTCTATGAAAAAGTAAGTTGGCCTTCGCTCTCTATCAGAAGAGAATAACACTGTATAAAATATTTTTATAAGGGACTACTTGATAGACTGAATGATAATCTCACTTGACACTGGAATTTTTAATAATAATATCTCATTACTGTCTAAAAACTGGCCACACTTGAACTGGGTAATGGGAGCTTTCGGTTACTTTGCTTCCCGAAAATGGAATACATTTCAAGGACATGCAAAACTGGACACACTGGAGCGACTACTATTTGAATAATATGGTGATAAACATTTATAATCACGCCCGCACCTGTTTTCAGTTTTGTTTGTTTTGTTTGTTTGGTCTAAACAGAGCTCTCATGAGAAAGAGTCGTGTCTGGTGCTTTCCTCTCTAAACAGATCTGACCTGTACAGAAAACCGGCCTGGTTGCATCATCTTCTTGTAAGTATAAATAGTATAAATATAAGTATAAATATAAGCCCTACTGTGGAGCATTTCAGGCAAAGCAATGACGTCTCTGTTGGGACAAGCTTCCACCAGAAAAGTTACATAGCGCCCATTCAATTCTTGTTTTCAATACTAAAATATTTGAAGCATCATCCAGTGGTGTTTACTAGTTATACCTGTGTTTCCAAAAAAAAATGTTCTGGGGACCCATATTTTAAAAGTCACAAACCTTTGCTACCCAAGTCAATAGACATTATTCATAAATCACAAAATAAAGTTGGATTTGACCATTATTGAACATTAATGAGGAGATTTTATTGTGTCTCTCTGAGCAATTAGTATTACTCAAGTTTTAAACAATGAAAAACAGAAAATTAACCAGCAATAAAAGTCCATAAGTCGCCTATTTGGACATTAAATGTAGCCCATTTCTTTTTCTTTTTAACATTCAACTGAACCAGCAATATTGGAACAAAACAGGCAATAAAATAATGTCAAAAAGATTAAAAATTATTCAAAACATGTCTTAATATTTGAACATTTTTAATGATATATGTGGGCCTGTCTGCGTTTTTGTTCCAGTTTGGGCTGCAGGAGGAGAGCGCAGCAGCAGATCAAGAAGTATAGACAGAACTGTATATTGTAGACCTACATGCAAAAAAATCTCTTGCAACCCACCTGAGGGTCATGACCCAGTCTTTGAGAAACAATGAGTTGTATTATATGACCACATTCAGTACTAACCGGAGTATCTGAGAGACTTCAGCTGTAGTCTGAGGTCGTAGCAGCACCTCACTGGAACCTGTGGAACAAAATGAATTAGTTTTGAATCGCCCACAATCACCCAGAGGCGTAAACCAAGGATAAACTAAGACTAAATGAGGACAAGACTAGTTTTAAATATGGACTAAGAAAGAAAAGGTCAAAAAAGGTGGTAAAAAAGGTAAAATCAAATCTAAATTAAACAGAAATTGCTTATTCAAATTTTATATTTTACATAACACATGGACTGGATTGTTTTTTATGTTTTTAAAGGGTCCACATTTCAATATTTTGTAGTTTTCTGATTTACGGTATAATGTTATATAATGTATAATTTCCTCATCAAAAACATAAAGTGTTTAGCTTTATTCAGTCCATTTGTCTCTTTGTTAATTTGGGACAGTAGAAAAAAGGGGTGAGGTTAAACAAGGTATTTACTTCCTCCCAATCCTTTTCGGACACAAGTAAAATCTGCGTGACATTTATTTTTGTTTATTGTTATGGAAAAGATGTCTTTAATTTTTGTATTATATCTATGTATTTTCATTTTCTATACATGTTTTATGCATTACTGTGCGAACATTAATAAACACTGGTTAATTCATTCACACATGTTTAACACACAAATGCTGCAGAAAAAACCCTGCTCTACTTTGTGATGTCATATGCTCCAGGAAGTGCTCCACTCCACTTTTAAACTAAATACGGCCTTCACTAGAATCATTTGGAACATTTCAAAATCTTCCGAAGTAAAGCCAAAAGGTAGCTGCTAATCTGAAAACTACCGCTACATGACGTCACAATGTGGAACAGAGCGTTTTGAGGTTTGGAGATGTAGACACACTAATAATGAAAGGTTACATGTGTGAATGAAACAAAACACAACTCCAGGTCTGTTTTTGATGAGGTAACTACATTCTAACATGACCAAAAGCTCAAAAGAGTAATTTTTTTTGCAATATAAGACTTTTAAAGTATAAAAACAATAACACAACTACTAACGACACTAATATTTCCATGGGGACAATCACCATACCGATTAACAATTAAAACTGACGGGTATAAAATGTGAACTTTGAACAGAATCCTGCTATTAACACATACATCTCAAATCTAATCAAATCTAAATCACAAATTGAGTTACCTCTGACAGATTTGAGCCAGTCCACGTTACTAGACTCCAGCAGGTCCGGGTCTGTGATGGTTCTGCCGGGAAGAATGCTCCGGAAAAAGTCCAGGTCTTCCTTAGTCACCCTGGAGAAAGGCAGTCTCTCCGGGGGTGAAGATTTGGATCTGTCTGCATTTTCTGTGGTTACATTTCGAGTGTTGCACCTGGACGGGTAAAAATGGCTGGTTGCTGTGATGCAAGGAGAGTCGGAGGGAGCGAGTCTGTGAGCGGAGGACACTTGGGCGTATCTTAGAGTTGACTTGAGGCCGAATGCTCTCTGGAAAATCCTTGCCATGTCTGGTTAGTAAAGAAGCTGAGAAAAGAATAGTATTTGTTTAATATAGCTACAAATACAATACATCAACAATAAACAACCTTTTGTTATTAAAAGTAGAAGGAAGTATCGCATAGGGGTGTGCGAAAATATCAAAATACCGATTTATCTTATTATTTAATGTGATGATACAGTATTGATATCGTAGGCTGCTGCATCAATGTATATCGTCAAGACGAGTATTTTTTGGTATATTTTACTAAATTATTTTGTTACAGCGCTACAGTTTTGTTGCTTATTTAGAGGAAGGAAACTCGTTTATGTAACACTGCTAAACATATCTATCTCTATGGACACAAAGAAGTGTTGCCATCAAGCCAAGGTGCAGGTCAGATCTGTGGAGAGGTGACCCCGTGTTACAATAAGAATGCATATACTTGCAAAGTTTAATGCCCTACTGTGAAATATTACAGTCTTTAAGCTCCTTGGAGCAGTACATTTCCCAAATACTTTATTTTTTTTTTTACTTAAGTAATTTCTTGGACCACTAATTATGTACTTCTACTTGAGTAATATTACTTTGAAATAACAATATTCTTACTTATGATCAACAATTTTTGGCTGCTCTTCCCACCCCTGAGTCCTGGAACATGTAGAGAATAGATGCCAATTCATAAAACCCATTGTTAATAATTCAGTGTGTAAGTGCAGTGTTTTCAAGGTACAACTAAACCAACTTTTGTAAACATATATAACAAAAACATCTCAATAAATAAATAAATAAATTACTAATACTAGAAACAGAGACGCTTAAAATATAATACAAGTTTTATTTTGTAGTACACCACAGCATACAACATTGAACATTTCATTCTAGCAGTATTTGGGCCAAGTACCTCTTTACTGCTGCCCTGCTACAATAAGAACGCACGTATATGCAAAGTTTAAAGCACTACTGTGGAACATTCCAAAATAAATTAAAATGAATAAATATGTATATAATGAATAATGGAAATTGTGAAACTGGTGCTCATTTAAGGAAAACTGTTCTGCACTCAGCCCATTCCTGACTAACATGTGAGTCAGTATAGTCACATTTTCTTTGTGTTTTGGTCATTTTTAAGCAGCTTTTCTGTATTTTACTTAAACAAATTACAATGTAGGTCTCTCTTCACTGTTGGCAGGGATCAGATTGGTCCAAAATAGGGACACCTGGAACATTTCTTGTATAAAACTGGGACGAATCAATGGTTTTGTATAAATCTGCTGGGACAGGGGACACAGGGCTCAAAACTGGGACTGTCCCTGGTAAATAGAGACGTCTGGTCATTCTATCACTATTATAATTATCAGCTACAATATTAAATAGATGGATTTTACTGCATATTGTGGACATTTCGAATTAAAAAAATGCTTAAACACTGTTCAATCTAAGCAGGTACCATCTCCTTCTCCTGTCTGACTGTTGTTTATCTCATTATCATGTTTTATCATGTTTGTCTCATATGTGTATAAATTATCTTTACACAGTTTATGGTCTGAGTACATGTTTAGTACCACGCTGATCAAAGTCAATGCTTACTAGTAAATAACTCATGCAAAATACAAAATATCTGTATACGTACCACCGTGAGTCACTTTAAAATGTGCATTTTTGCCTTGGAGATTATTCCGATTGAATTTGTGCAGGACAGAGTAAGTTAAAAGTCAAAGTTACGCCACTGTTTACAACTGTTTTACCACCTGAAAGCGGCTGACCCCTGAACAGGAAGAGATCCGGGGTGGGCGGGACAAAGAGTTAAGAGCCAATCAGAGCGTCGCTTCGGGGACACGGACCAATCACGTGAGTTCTTGGTTATCACGTTTCAGCCAATGACATAACGCAAAAGAACGCGGCACGTGAAGCGGCATGTAAACAACTTATTCATTCAAAAAATAATCGTACGCAGTAAAATAAATCGTTGGCTTTTGAAAGCACTTTCTGTTGATATACTTTCATGGTTACTGGTATTAGCATGAATGCAGTAAAAATATTTGTAAAGATTTTTGTTTGTCAGGTTCAAATGCATTATGATTTGTTTAAAATGTGTTAATTCATAAAATAGACTTCTTGTTATAGAAAGCATATTAAATGTTAAAGTATATAGGCCATTTAAACAACGTAGTACAACTTATGTGTGATACTATTATTAATTGCCTATAAACTTATTAGTGATGTAAATTATTATTAATAAACGTATTAATAATGTAAATTAGTAGTAACCAATCATATCAGCCCTTACTACAGCCCTTAGTACTCAGATACATTTACTTGAGTGACCTGAGAAAATTTAAATTTTCAGATAACTTTTTTGTAGCATGCTTTCACTTCTATTTGAGTGATATTTTTTATTGAAGTAACAGTACTCTTACTTGAGTAAAAGATTTGGTTAGTGACAAACGCTTTATGCTGACGATATGAAATTATTTGCACATTTGTGTTTCCTATGCTGCTCCTTCAGATATGATTTAGTTTGTCTAATTTTTGGGTCTATCCTTGAAAAATACCAGATTTTGTGCATTATCTGATGTTTTGTTCTGCATTCAAGTCAAATTTTATTTTAATTTATTTCTATTTCTATTTTATATTCCGACAGTTACTCTTCAAGTTACTTGAGTAGTATATTTCCCAAATTTCTAAAATAATTTTTTGAACCACTCTTCTGTACTTCTACTTGAATATTACTTTGAAAAAACATTACTCTTACTTATGGTCAATTTTTGGCTACTCTCCCCACCCCGAGCACTAGTATCAGAGCTGGGACCAAGTCTTTGTTGTCCAAGTCTGCAAGTCCAAGTCAAGTCCCAAGTCAAATAAAGGTAAGTCTCAGTCGAGTCTCGAGTCATTGGCCCATGAGTCCAAGTCAAGTCCAAGTCGTCTGCTTTGAGCTTCAAGTCATTTCAAGTCTTTAAACCAAAGTACCAAATATAGCTTAGATTTTTGCAATTTATTTGACTTTTAAGATTAATTGTACTTTAAAAAAATCATAGTATATTTATATATGAGTATTTATATGAGAGTTGTAGAAATTAATTTAGTTATTTTTTCCTTTTTAAATGTCTGGACAAGATCTTAGTGTGAATCATTACAGTCAGAATAGAAAGAATTCAGATTTAAAAGTTCTTCTCAAGTTTTCTCAAGTCACAAGCTTAAAGTCCGAGTCAAGTCCCAAGTCACTGACCTTCAAGTCAAAGTCGAGTCCCAAGTCTTAGTCCATTTTATCAAGTCAAGTCTCAAGTCCTAAAAATAGTGACTCAAGTCTGAATCGAGTCTGGCCCTTCTTATAATTCAGTGTGTAAGTGCAGTGGTTTCAAGGTACAATTAAACCTTTTGTAAACTTATAGCTAAAGAATATAAACAAATATTACTAATACACTGAAACGGAGACGCTTAAAATATAATACAAGTTTTATTTTGTAGTACACCGCAGCATGCAACATTGACCACTTCATCCCAGCAGTATTTGGACAAAGTACCTGTTACTGCTGGCCTTATAACACTTCTAACAAACAGGATGGCATCTCAGTGTCTGATCTGAATACTCTGAATTGATTTTACATCTTGATTTTAGGCACATTTTAGCGAAACATTGAAATCCAGAAATCAAACCTTGGACGTATGAACACTGACAGACGTATACTGAAGTCACAGAACTGAAAATTTAAAGACAGTATTTTTCACGACACACGACGTGGAAACCGAACCAAAATGTAATTACTTTGGGAATGTAAGTATCACATGCTTCCGACGTAGCAACACTGACGGTAACTGAACACGAGCAAAAACATCACATTTGATTTTATGATTGAATGTAAACCCATACTTAAACATCCCAGCTGGGTCAACGCGCCAGTTCACGACAGTCTAACGTTTCATTTCATAATTTCAGATGGAGGGCAGTGGCCATTATAACTCTACGGGAAATTTGCCATTATTAAAAGAAGTAAACAAGCTGAAAATCTACAAATGTGGAACTGTTATTATTTGTTAAGGATTCGGTCCACAAATCAGGGTTCCCACTCCTTTTCACCAACAAAATTTTAGAACTTTTCCATAACTTTTTAATGACCTAAAGTGATTTTTCCACGACTTTACGGCAGCCTATATGGCTAAATATGAAATGTTAACCCTTTCCACTCACCTTATGGTTTGGTATTATAGTTTTTTAACATTCAAAATACTGTCAGTGCATTTATTGTCGTCTCTTTTAAATAAAAGGCACAAACGTTTGGAAATAATCATCAACAGCCTAATGAATGAATAAAACTTAACAGAACGATATAGTTGAGTGAAAAAGATACTAAAATTTCATGACTTTTCCAAAACTTTCATTGAATTTACAAAATTGTGTGACTTTTTCAGGCCTGGAAAATGACATTTTCAGTTTCCATGACTTTTCCAGGATTTCCATGACCGTGGGAACCCTGGCAAATTGAAATGAAAACTGGCTTGAAGTGTTTCTAACTGACTACAGCATCGCATTTTGAAACTATTCTGAAGTTTTATGATTGAGATGACATTGAACTTCTGTTTCATGTAGATAGTCGGGATGGGACAAGATCTTGCGAGAGAAAATCGCCACAAGATTGTGCACACATGCTGAAAATTATCTTGTGAGATTTTTTCCCCTGTGTTTTTATGTCTGGATTGGATAAAAAATTTAGTTAAGTAGTGGTGAGTTACATTTTTTTGAGCTGTAGTCCCAAAAAGCGCTGCTACAGTGACAGCACAAATATTTAAGTAAATTAAAAACAGCGAGGCCATAAATTGGGAACTGGATTACACAATTTATTTTTTTATGAAGAATGTCAAAGTCTTGTTTTGTCTCGTTCTCGAAGATCCCATCTCGTTCCACCCCTAGTAGACAGGTCCAGTAATTACAGAGATATTAAAAGGGAATGTAACCCTGTATATTTAAGCAAAATTTGTCATGCCAAAGTGCAGATATATTGTATAAGCAGCTCTTGAGGTCAAAATAAGTCCACCGTGTCCTGTTTGCATTTAATTATGAACCGTTTTATTGTCTGATAAGTTAGTTTTTTGTTATCTTTACAGTCTTTACAGCCAAAACTACTCACTGGTGTTTCAGAATTGTGAAAATTGTGGTGAATAGTTAGGCTCTGAATGCATAAGGTAAGTGAGGAATGACTTCGGACCACTGCAAGTCGTTCTGTTTTTCACATTTTTCAATCAGGTACAGCAAATTCTACCACAGAACTCTGACCGATCCTCCATCTCGACTTTAACCTAAGGAGAATGCTTTATCACGTGAACCCAACCTATTTGTAATCTTAAACGAACCCTTTTCTTCAGTACTTGTAGCTGCCATTTTGAATACCGCTTTAAACCGTGAGGAGCGCCGCGAACACGGGCAGTAGTTAGCAGACCACGCGACGCGCAGTTGAACAGAAACTAGCAAAGTGGTCCTCCGTGGACGTCGGCAGCGGGCTCGCCAACATACAGTACAAAAGCCAGTTCTTCTTCTTCTTCTTCAGTAGTGCTTTTCAGCGCGGCCCGGGGCTCTCTCCTCTCATCTGCCGCTGGTCGTACTCAGAGATCAGCTTCTTGATATGTGCCAGTTTGCTGTGCAGGTACTCGCAGCGGATTTTGTCCTGGCTGTAGTTGGGGTTGGACTGAAGAAAGAAAAAGAAATTCAGTTATTTTTCACGTTGTATTTTATGTTTTTTAATAGATGTGTTCATGTGAAAGATGTGATATTGGAACACAGAGACATGCACATCCAACAAACATGCAAATGCGTGCTGGGTCCAAAAATAAAAACTGTGCAAAAGAAGAAAGAGGTCGTACGTTTTTGTATATGTAAATCCCATTGTGTGTTTGTGTTTTATTTATGATCTCTATTATTTTTATTTTTTTGTATCTATTTTATCTTTAATTTTATATTTTATTTTATTATTATTTAACTATTTTTACATATGTTTTTGTTATGCAAGTCATATAGAATTTGAATTCAAATGTACTGATTTATTTTTGTTTATTTCATTAATTTATTTATTATTATATATTTTTTTGTATTTAAGGCTTACAGTGTATTTTAAGGATTTTTTGGCACCAACAATAAGCTTGTCCGTATCAGTTTTTTGGTTGCTTTGTAGAATATTTTTTCTAAACTGAAAATCTTAATAAATAAAGTTATTTAATAATAATAATAAGAATAAGAAGAATAAGAAGAAGAAGAAGAAGAAGAAGAAGAAAGAGGCACTGCAGTTCTTTGAAGCTGCCAAATTTTAATTTCAATGACGCCACGATGTGACATTTTGAGTCATGTCTGAAGAAGAGCTTGACCTGAAATGTCAAAACAATATCTGGCTAAGTTAAAATGACTTAAATTAAGAACATTTTACTTAATTTGAGTAGATTCAACTTCAACTAAAGTTCAACTAAAATTGTCTACCAATGGAATAAGTGTGTTTTTCAACATTAGAATTTGTTTCTTATTTTAAGGGCACAGAGTTGTTGTTTTTTCTTATTTTAAGTGTAGCAAGATGTATTTTCATATTTTAAGTACAAAAAGTCTTGTTCCACTGGCAGATAATTTTACTTCAAGTGAAATTTACTCAGATCACGATGAAAATTTTTCAACTTAACTTGGCTAAATTTTGTTTTTTTGGAGTGAAATAAAAATTTGGCAGCTTCAAAGAAAGGCAGTGCAGATCTATTTCTTCTTTTGAGAGTTGGATGTGGTCAACATTTGTAAAAAAATTTTAAAAAGTCAAAAATGTTTAAATGTTTAAGGTCATCACAGACAAGAAGGTGACGGACCTGCCTCCAGGAAAGTTACATAGACACCGAATGTCCTGACTACTGTACTGACTGAAGCTATCAATTTTTTTTTTTTTTTATTTAAAAAAGTATTATTGTCACAAAAAAACACCACGTTACCTTTGTGCTGCCATAGAGACATTGTGCTTAAATGTGGCAGTTTCTTTTTCATGTGGACAGTAATAATAAAGATATTGACCATAAACAAGAGAAAAAAAACTGCATTTGTAAAAGAAAAAATAAATAAATAAAAAGGAAAACTATACAAAATCTCACCTTTTTAATCTTGCGATATTCTTGGACGATTTGATTATGAACAGTCTGCAAAAAGAACAATAACGTATGTATTTACATTGCCACACAAAAATAACTAAACATAACATTGAAGGTTAATATTAGAGTTCTTTCTGATGATCACCTTGTATTTCTGTGAGTCGTGCTGCAGCTGCTTGAGCTGAGAGTCCAGCTCCATGAACTGTCTGGTGACGGAGTCGATGCGAGCGTGCAGGTCTCTGTACTCGCTGTACTCGCGGTTAAAGTCCAGTTTGTAGCTCTGCCTCTGCTGGGACGACCTGATGCTGGTGTACTTCCTGAAAAATGACAACGAAATTAGAGAGGGAATATTTCTGTTTTTTTTTTTCTTTTGTTTTTTTTTTTATTTATAATTGGCAATTTATTCAGTGCTTTTTTGTCCACATAAATCATAATATACATGCCCTATTATTCCCCCCCACACACACATAAACTCAATATAAACGTAGAAAGTAGATTTAAAAAAAAAAAAAGGGCAAAGAAAAAAATAATAAAATAACATAATAGCAATAATAATGATGATGATACTTAATAATGAAAAGGATTATATATGTATGTATATAATACAATTATATACATACATGTATAGATTGAATATTTCTCTGTTTAAAAATCATCAGTGTTTTAAAAGGTTCATATTATGTTCTTTTCTGATATATTATAATGTTGTCTCCTCATCACAAACAGATCTGAAGTTGTGTTTTGTTTCATTCACACATGTTTAACACACAAACCTGCATATTTAGGCTGAGTTCTTCTCTCAATCATGAAAACACTTTGACCCACTTTGTGATGTCATGTGGTAATACACAGGGTTCCCACTCTTTTTCATTGACAAAATTTAAAAACTTTTCCGAGACTTTTTCTAGCCAGGCTGGCGCCACCTAGTGCCTCTGCTCAATTTCATTTCTCTCCAACGACTAGGTCAGGAATCAAAATACACTGGACGGTTTGTAAGAACCCCGGAAGTTGAAGACCGCGCACCGGCCAATCAGTGAAGAGCTGTGAAGTCGTGTCTGGGTCCCTTTTGTGGTACAGTACAACAGTAAACAAAGCGGTCGAGATGGATGTACACCAGGACATATATTCTGTGTTGGCAACGATTCCCGAGATCGAGAATTTAAAGCTGGAACAAAGATTTGTTCCAGAAATGTGTGAATTTTGAAGTTTGGTGAATTTTATCAAGGGGAAAGACGTTATTGCCCTTCTTCCTATGAGATTTGGGAAAAGCTTAATATACCAGTTTGCCCCGTCAGCAGCACATTACATACGCCACGACCAAATAGCAGCGACTGGTTAAATTTTTTTTAAAAGTACCCGCCTACTGTCGAGTGAACGAATCCTAATGCTGTGAGGTCAGACGGTTTCCACAAAGTTCAACCTGCTGATGAATCAGGCTAGATTTTTTCATGACCTAAAGTGAATTTTCCATGATTGTACGGCACCTACATGTGTAGAATTGCTCAGACTTTTAGGAGCTAAATATGAAATGTTAACCCTTTCCACTCACCTTATTGTTTGGGATTATAGTTTTTAAACATTTAAAATACTGTCAGTTCATTTATTGTCGTCTCTTTTAAACAAAAGGCACAGACGTTCAGAAATAATCACAATAGCCTAATGAGAACTTAACAGAATAATGTAGTCAAGTGAAAGAGATACTAAAATTCCATGACTTTTCCAGGCCTGGAAAATTACATTTTCAATCTCCATGACTGTTCCAGGATTTCCATGACAGCGGGAACCCTGAATACAGGAAGTGTTCCACTATATTTTGAAACTCCACACATTAATTTCCAATAATTTCAGCTTTGGAATTCCCAAACTCTACTAACAGTAAAATGAGCTGCTCATTTGAAAACTACCACTTCATGACATCACAAGGTGGAACAGAGCATTTTGAGCTTTGGAAATGTAGACAGACTCCTCAAATATGTGTGAATGAAATAAAACATAACTCTGGGTTTGTCTTGAGGAGGTAACAACATTCTAACATGAGTCACAACAAGAGTCAGTTTTGCGTAACACAGGACCTTTAAATTTCACTAAAACACTATTTATCTTTAGTCATTCCCTCTCGAGAATGATCTCATCCGCTCTCTGAAGCGAAGCAGGATTAGACCGGGTTAGTGCTCGGATGGGAGACCACAGGGTGTCACAGTGGGGCAGCAGTGGCTTTAGTGGAAACTGTTGCTGTGTCCTCAGGCAAGACACTTCACCTACAATGTCTAGTTTGAATGTGGCAGGTGTGAATCATCGGTGTTGATGAATCATACACTGTGAATCGCCTCGGGTGTCTTCAAAGACGCAATATAAATCCAGTGCATTACTATTAGAATTCATATTTTCTGAACAACACAGAGCTTCCTGTTTGCTTCATGTTAAACCAATCTGAACTTTAAGCACGGATCTATAATAAAAACTGGCATTCATTCCCCCTCTGTCCTGGCTCGAGACAGACTAGTGGTCGCTCCAGGTACTGCAGCTCCCAGGAGCTTAGACCCAGAAAGAATTCTCCCATAGAAGCACAATGTATTTTTTGTGAATTCAAACCACCCGTGTTCAGCTGACAGGACATCAGCAACTTTCACAAAGGTTGGATTTTGTGGGGATTCTTTTCTATTTTCACAACATAAGTTTTTTAAAATGAAATCCTCAAAGTGCCTAAAATTTAGCTTTTTGAGACTTAACCTTGCTCCGCTCTGAGCCGCACTAGCTCCGCTCTCAGCTCTCACTCTGATTGGTCCAAATGCTCCAAGCCGTGCACGTTACAGACGTCACACAGATGGGAGGCGCTCGCCCGTACTTAGGAAGTAAATGCGGAAGTGAACTTTTTTTTTTTTGGGCACAGGCCACTGAAAACAACACAGCGCCATCTTGGATTCATCTTCCAGATTTTATAGTTCTATGATTTTAAGTGAGTTAAAAAAAAACTTTTATTTAACTTAACTAATTATGCATTTTTATTTTAATCCATTATATTATTTATTTTATTTTTTTATTAGTCAATTTTGTTATTATTATCAGGGTTCCCATTCTTTTTCACAAAATTTCTAAAGTTTTCCATGACTTTTTCATGGCCTAAAGTAAATTTTCCTTGACTTTACGGCACCTACCATGTGTAGAAGTGACGTTAACTCTTTCTACTCACCTTATTGTTTGGGATTATAGTTTTTTAACATTCACAATACTGTCAGTGCATTTATTGTCGTCTCTTGTACACAAATGGCGCGTATGTTTGGAAATAATCATAATAGCCTAATGAGAACTTAACAGAACGATGTTGTTGTGTGAAAGAGATACTAAAATTCCATGACTTTTCCAAAACTTTCATTGAATTTACACAATTTCAGTGACTTTTCCAGAATTTCCCCGACTGTGGGAACCCTGCAATATATTTTTTTTCTTTGTTTATTTGACTGTCTCTTATAAAATTCACTAAAGAAAGGCATTAATTTATTTTTTTTTTCAGTGGTGCTGGACCCCAATCTATAAATGTACATAGGCTCATAGAGTGTCCATGTTTTTCACAGTGTCACGTATATTGGCATAGATGTATTTGAAAAAGTACGTGTACAGTATAGATTTGTGTAAGTTGTATGTATGAAGCAGGAGAATATAAATGTGCATGTGTGTATTTGTTACGTGGGTGTGTTTGTGTGTTCTGTTTACTTTGCGTGTAGTTTTTAGCCAATGCATCATCTCTACGCACTATTTTACATATTAAACAAACATTCACGTCACACTAATAGCCTATTCAAAATGATCTTTTAGACTTGGCTTACGATAAATAGTCCATTGTGTCGTAGGCTTGTAGTATGTTGGAGTCTAACAGCTTTTCACAAGAATCTGGATGAACAAAAAAGAGACAAGTTCAACAACATTCAGCAAAACACTAAGATCTGAAAATCCGTGTATCATTCGTTGTTTCGTTTTAAAAACTAAAAATAAGAAAACGAAAAAGCAACTATTTTCTTCATTATTTGTCTCCAAAACCAAAATGAAAAAACAGATAACGATTTGTTTGGAATGGAAAAAACGGACAACGGCTGTTTCCCGTTTCCGTGACTTAAACTGTGATGCTGGACTGAATCAGGACTAAACCAGGACTAAACCAGGACTAAACCAGGACTAAACCAGGACTGATCAGGACTAAACCAGGACTAAACCAGGACTAAACCAGGACTGAATCAGGACTAAACCAGGACTAAACACGGACTGAATCAGGACTAAACCAGGACTAAACCAGGACTGAATCAGGACTCAGGGACTAAACCAGGACTAAACAACAGGACTAAACCAGGACTGAATCAGGACTAAACCAGGACTAAACAGGACTGAATCAGGACTGAATCAGGACTAAACCAGGACTAAACCAGGACTGAATCAGGACTAAACCAGGACTAAACCCGGACTGAATCAGGACTAAACCAAGACTAAACCAGGACTAAACCCAGACTGAATCAGGACTAAACCAGGACTGAATCAGGACTGAATCGGGACTAAACCAGGACTAAAAAAGGACTAAACCTGGACTGAATCAGGACTAAACCAAGACTAAACCAGGACTAAACCAGGACTAAACCAAGACTAAACCAGGACTAAACCAGGACTAAATCAGGACTAAACCAAGACTAAACCAGGACTAAACCTGGACTGAATCAGGACTAAACCAGGACTAAACCCGGACTGAATCAGGACTAAACCAGGACTAAACCCGGACTGAATCAGGACTAAACCAAGACTAAACCAGGACTAAACCCAGACTGAATCAGGACTAAACCCGGACTGAATCGGGACTAAACCGGGACTAAACCAGGACTAAACCAGGACTAAACCTGGACTGAATCAGGACTAAACCAAGACTAAACCAAGACTAAACCAGGACTAAACCAGGACTGAATCAGGACTAAACCAGGACTAGACCTGGACTAAACCAAGACTAATCCAGGACTAAACCAAGACTAAACCAGGACTAAACTGGTCTCAGTCCTGGTCTCAGTCAGTTTCAGTCCCAGTATGGTCACGGTCTGGTCTCAGTCCCAGTCTCGGTCTCAGTCCTGGTCTCAGTCCTGGTCTCAGTCCCGGTCTCAGTCCTGGTCTCAGTCCCGGGTCAGCCCGGTATCACAGTTTAAGTCACGTAAACGGGAAACAGTCGTTTTCCATTTTTTCGATTATTAATTTAAACACAAAATTGAAAACTGAAAAAATGAATCGTTATCTGTTTTTTTCATTTTGGTTTTGGAGACAAATAATGAAGAAATTTGTTTTTTTTTTTCATTTTCTTATTTTTGGTTTTATTTTGAAAAAAGAATGAACGAATGATACACAGATTTCTGAAGAGCAGAATTTTAACCCACCTGTGTAATCTTGAGAAATCTGGTTTGCGTCGTCTTCTACTTTAGTTTTTCTCTCTTTGCTCTTGTCTTTCTCCTAAAACCACAGCACCAGTTGTCAAAAGTATCCAAAATAACATACCAATCCATAATAAAATAATAGAATCAAAAATAAATACTCCATTTATTTGAGAAATGAGAAGTCTATATGTTCTTTGTTCATTTGGGACAGTAAAAAAAAAAGTGATGGGTTAAACAAGTATTTACTTCCTCCTTTTTCAGACACAAGTAAAATCTGCGTGACATTTAATTTTGTTTATTATTATAGAAAAGAAATATTTACTTTTTGTATTATATCTATGTATTTATGTTTTCTATGCATGTTCTACGCATTGCTGTCCGAATAAATATTCATTCACAACAAACATCCATTCATTCAACAAGATATCGATATTGAAAAAAAAAAGCATAAACATGACATTTTTTTCCTTTCTTAAACTTTATCAACATCAGTGTAAAACCACATGGAAACTTAAGGAAATTACTATTATTTTGTGCTGAAAATTACAATGTCTAAGTGTGTTTTTTTTCATCATTGTGGTATCAAAATTGGTTTTGACTTTTCCTTATTAGTATTCTAGTCAGGCTGGTGCCACCTAGTGCCTCTGCTCAATTTAATTTCTTTGCAGCGACTAGGCCAGGAATCAAAATACACTAGACGGTTCGTGAAAACCCTGGAAGTGCGAGTTCAGGCACCAGCCAATCAGTGAAGAGCCAAACATTCTGTGTTGGCAACGATTCCCAAAATTGAGGACTTTAAGCCGGAACAAAGAGAATGTTTGGTGAATTTCATCAAGGTGAAAGACGTTATTGTCCTTCTTCCTACGGGATTTGGGAAAAGCTTAATATACCAGTTTGCCCCGTTAGAGGCGCATTACATACGTTACAACCAAATAGCAGCGATTGGTTAAGTAAAAAAAAAACTACCAGCCTACCATCGAGTGAACGAATCCTAATGCTGCGAGGTCAGACGGTTTCTACGAAGTGAAACCGTCTGAGGAATCAGGCTAGTAGTATTCTGCCCTACAAAGGGAAAAAGACTGTATCTGCGTTGAGAGTTAAACTGAGAAAAATGGCTTTAAGGTTCAGATGTCGTCCCACTTTTCCATGTCAGAGGTAAATGATGGTAATGATAGTGTGTTTTACCACATGTTGAGTTAATATTTATCAATCACAACCATCACCACTGGTTAACCTTTGACCTCTGAGTGTTTGAGAAGTTTGAGAAGATCTTTTAATCATTAAGCATTTTAGTTTGTCTGTTGAATAAGATATTGTGAAAGTTTCAAGTCTGTATTTTGTCCCATTTCACAATTAGACCTTAAAACATGCAGCATCTGTATCTGAGAGTCGAAGGGTGTAACGATATCCAAGTCTCACGATACGATATTTATTGCGATATCGTGGGAAAGCTCACGATATGGTGTGGAGGCTCACGATTAGGGATGTAACAATATCCAAATCACTCGATATTTTCATGATATACATCTCACGGTACGATATTTGTTGCGATATTTTTTGGAGGCAAAACTGCTAAAACTGTTACTTTTTCCTCTTAAAATGCCTTGACAAGACTTAATACAAAGACTTTAAAGTGCTTAGAACTGTTATTTCTTCTTGTAGTCTGCACTGAAATGGAGCAAAGGATCATGGTCTATGTAGTTCTCTGTCTATTTTTAACTATTTACGCAAAGAAACTTGTAATTCGATATATTGTGATGGTCCAAGATATTATTGTTGAACTTTGACGATACGATATCACGATATTTCAGTTATTGTTACCTCCCTTTATTGTGAGTCATGTGAAATTCTCCAGTAAAACGACGGAAAAGTGCAGCATCAGCGTGTGAATTCATCAGCTACAAAATAAGCTGCTGTAGTTAACACACGGTTCCTTTGAATCACTGAAGAAACTGTGGTTACTGCAAATTTCATATCAGGATGACTCAAAAACGAAACAGAGTTGAGTTGAGGCTGCGCATTTAGTTGAATTTTGATCACGATTTTCTGATTTGTTTGTCAAATAATTTCCAAACTCATATAATCAAGTTGAAACGAGTTTATCTTGGGATATTTTTTAGATAAATAAGTATATTTATTTAATTTTTTTTAAATATAGAGATTGTAGAACAGCTGGATATATAGTTTATTTTGGCTAAATTTACGTTTTTCTATGCCTTATTTCATGTTCAAAGTATATTTTATTTATTTTTTTTATTTTTAATTTCATTTAATTTCATTTTTCATTTTTTTTATACATCGCAAAACTGCTCAAAAAGGTCCATATTTGTGGCCTATATTTATTTTCTATTCGAAAGTTTTGCGTAAATTATCAATAATTAGTAAGTGTTTTATTTTATTTTTTTTTAGAAATGCTGAATAAATGCATCGTCTAACTAAAAAAATAATAGTTTGAATAATCGTGATTTCAATATTGACCAAAAATAATCGTGATAATGATTTAGTTGAGCCATAAAATTGTCACCAACTAAAACAGGTGTTAAGAAGGTGTCTTAATTTTGACAAAACTGCTGCATTTTTCCTTAGTAGGGCAGTAGAAAAACGATACTAAAACTTTGAACCCCATTTTGATACGAAGGAAAAGACTCGATAATCAATACTTGCTCAAACGTGTATCCGATTTCAACAGTTTGTAATTTAAAACGCGTCCTACCTTTTCTTTATGCTTGTGTTTGCTTTTCCTCCGTGCCACTTTGGGTCGGGGCAGATCCGGGACGACGAGAGGCGACGGGGGATGATCGATGTTGCTATGGTGATTTTCTGCCACTTCCGTCCTCTCCTCCTTTTCCTCCTCCTCCTTCTCACCTTTCCCCGGCTCTAATCTTTTGTCCATCTCCGATAACGACTCAAACAGCTTTTTAGGGTCTAAGCGGTTCTTGTTCTCCGTCAGCCGGCTCGGGTCCGGCCTGGGCTGAGCCGGGTCGGTGCGTCTGGGCCTGCTCGTGTCGGTTTTGGCGGACAGGTGGGATATCCGGAGGCGTTTGGAGAGGAGGGGGTCGGTGTAGTCGTCGTAGAGCGAGTGTTTGGGGCGGTGGGCGGGGGAGGAGTTGGGCGTGTCTCTGAGCGGGCTGACCTGGGCCTCCGGGACCGAGAGGAGGTTCTGCTGAGGCTGGAAGAGTCTCCTGTGGAAAATATACAGTAAAAGATTTAATTAGAGCAGGGAGAATTGAAAGTGAAGTTATAGTTATGTGTTTGTTTTTGTACATAATGAATCTGTGTATCATTCGTTCATTCGTTTTTCAAAATAAAACCACAAATAAGAAAATGAAAAAACAACTATTTTCTTCATTATTTTTCTCCAAAAACCAAAATGAAAAAACAGATAATGATTTGGTTTTTTTTTTCAGTTTTCGATTTTGTGTTTAAATGAAGAATGGAAAAAAACGGATAACGGCCGGTCCTGGTTTAGTCCTGGTTTAGGATTGAGACCGGGACCAAACCAGGATTGAGACCGGGACTGAGACCGGGACCAGACCAGAACTGAGACCAGGACAGAAACCGGGAATGAAATCGGGACCAGACCAGAATTGAGATCAGGACCGAGACTGGCACCAGATTGGGACCAGACCGGGACCGAGACCAGGACCAAGACCGGGACAAGACCAGGACGAGACAGGGACAAGACCAGGACGGAGACCGGTTCAGTCCTGGATTAGTCCTGGTTTAGTCCTGGTTTAGACCTGGTTTAGACCTGGTTCTGTTCTGGTTTAGACCTGCTTCAGTACTGGTTTAGATCTGGTTCAGTTCTGGTTTAGACCTGGTTTAGACCTGCTTCAGTACTGGTTTAGATCTGGTTCAGTTCTGGTTAGTCCTGGTTCAGTTCTGGTTTAGACCTGGTTTAGACCTGGTTTAGTTCTGGTTTAGACCTGGTTTAGACCTGGTTCAGTTCTGGCTTAGACCTGGCTTAAACCTGGCTTAGACCTGGTTTAGACCTGGTTTAGACCTGGCTTAGACCTGGCTTAGACCTGGCTTAGACCTGGCTTAGACCTGGCTTAGACCTGGTTCAGTTCTGGTTTAGACCTGGTTTAGACCTGTCTTAGACCTGGTTCAGTTCTGGTTTAGGTCTGGTTTAATCCTGGTTTAGTTCTGGTTTAGGTCTGGTTTAATCTTGGTTTAGTTCTGGTTTAGGTCTGGTTTAGACCTGGTTTAGACCTGGTTTAATCCTGGTTTAGATCTGGTTTAGTTCTGGTTTAGTTCTGGTTCAGTTCTGGTTTAGTCTTGACAGCGCCATCTGCAGTCCGACTTCCTCAGGACAGTATCCCAGGTGTGAGAGACTAAAAAAGCCCCCTCGTCCCGGTTTATCGTCCCGTGGGCACGTTTCCGTATTTCATTAGCCTCTTTAATCCAGCGACGATGTTTGTCGTCCTCTGTCCCAGTGACATTTGTCCCAGTCCATAAAGTGGTTCTCTCTTTTACAGTGGTCGATTTGAGTTGTTCCTGTTCTGCTTTGTGTTTTGTTGCTCTTGTTTTGTTTCGCTGTTTCGCCGGACTGAACACCCTTCCTGTTTCATTACATTTATTACTGGGTTTTGTTTGGTTTGTTTGGGTGCTTTTTGGGAGTTATTGCCTGAGTTTTCCGTACGGTTTCACTGCTGTGTTGATATTGTGGGGATTTTTTTATTGCCGTCTGCACTTTTTCTGTTATGCCCCTGATGTACAGTAATGTTACCGTGCCCGTGTGCTTTTTTTTTTTCAGTTTTATTATTGTTTTTCTGGTTTTGTCCTTCGTTTATTGTCCATTTTGGGTACTGGCGTTGCTTCAGAGCTCTGTGAATGTGTCTGTCTTTGTCTGTTATAATGTTGGTTCTGTCAAATAATGTTCTTACAGCGTGTTTTGCTCGGCGTAGTAGTGTGGTGTTTTCTAGCGTAATAACCACAGTTACCTCACGAGTATGCGCTTGAGCAGCTGCTGGTCTCCTGCCGTGTACCCGGGCCAGTCCTTCTGCAGCTCTTTGAACAGACTGTCCTTCAGAACAAACGCATTGTCTTTACTGCTCTGCTGACCCACCTGCACAGGAAACAAACATCTCATTTAGAACATGAAGTGAACAGAACTGAAAGGACAAAACATTACATTAAATACAGTGAAATTTAAAAAAAAAACATTGTAGTGGTGCAAGAAACACATGTTCAACCAATTTCATATTTCCCACGTTTATATGAGAGTTTTAATTCCAAATAAAAATGATTTAATTCTGAATAAAAATGTATTTGGCTTTAAAAAGACCATGTAAACACTTAATTCCTAATGAAAATGATTATATTGAATTAAACTTAATCCCGAAATAAGTGGGTGGTTTATTCCGATTTTAAAGCCGAATTTATTTATTCCTCGATCAACTATTCTTCTTCAAAATAATTCTAGTCGTCTGATCGTCTCCACCAGTCGTTGCTTCGGACTTTCCTCCACGTCTCTTTGGATTTGTGAGCTGGATGCGGGAGTGGGCTGAGGTAGAGCAGCCGTTGACTCAGTTTGTCTTCTTCCTCCTTCTCCGACACTCTTCCCTTCCCAGCTGCTGCTTAACTATCATCGGAACAAATGCGGAAAAAGTTTGTATCATGTTGGTGTCTGTGGCGTAACGACAAACCGAAAAAGCCGGTAGCAGCTGAAGTGTGTGTTTTCTTCCGGTCGACATAAATACGTTTGTCCCCCTGTCCAATCAGAACTCTTCCTGACGTTGAGAGGAATTAAATTCAGAATTCAATTCAGAATTATTATTTCCATGTAAATTCAAAGGAGAATATTTTAATTCCAAACAATTTCCTTCAGAGTAATTAATTAGGAAAAAAAAAACATCATGTAAATGTGGCCATTGTCAACATAGACTTATTCACAGGTGGAAGAATAACCACAACTTTAATCAAAAGAACTGTTACACTGTAAAATATAGTATTAGAAGGGGTAAAAGTATGATATCTGAAAACTAGAAGTACAATTGAAAAGTTTCTTAAGCAAATAAGCTTGAGCCCCGTATTTTTCAGACTATAAGGCGTATTGGATTATATATACATTGAGTAATAATGTGTTTAATGCAGCTTTGTGTACATTTGTTTATGTTTTACAGAAACTAAACATAAAACCACATGGCTCATTTGCATAAACTATAAGCATTGAAAAAAACAGTTCGCTTCTTGTGCCGCTTCTGTCGGACTAAAGGACACGACTCCGCGAGGCTCCTGACTTCTGTAGCCGTAATGAACCGACAATCCATCAAGTGGTGCGGCTTCATAGTTTACCAAAGTCATACTAAAAACATTTTGACAGATTTTTGAACGCTGTGCACCACATAAAATTGGTTCGAGGTCAGTAAGCACAACCAGAATCAATACATAAGGCACTGTCGAGTTTTGAGAAAATTCAAGTATTTTAAGCGCGCCTTATTGTCCGAAAAATATGGTAAATGTAACCAAGTTTACCTCACATCTGTCTGTAACTTCTCTAGCTTTAGTGTTGTCCTCACCTCCTGCAGCACGTTCTCCAGTTGCCCCTTGTCCTCCGGCCTGAGCCCGTCCCTCTGCAGCCGGAGCAGCAGTTCTGGTTTCCTGTAGGGTTTGAGGGCGAGCAGGTGGGTGACTCTCTCTCTCAGGGGCCTGCGCTGGACCTCCTCCGTACCGCTGTTGTGTTGACCTAACGCGGCCGTGGCCTTTGTGACCTTTGACCTGCTGACACCTTTCTTCATACTGCTGAGGAGGGAGTGGCTCTGAGGTTTCGGCTTGGTTTGGTTGGAATTGGCCGCGGCCGGAGAGCGCACGGTCACCTTTCGACCTGAGAGACAGAAAAGACATCGGAAAACTTAATAATACTGCAGTAGTTGTTTTGAGAAAAAATGAATGTTGAGCCTATAATGAAAACTAACTCAAAAGTCTGCAAAAAAATTACTGATTTAAAATAAAACATGCAAATATTTCTGCACTTTGGCGGTTCCTTTTATACTCCTTTTGTGCGAAACCTCAACCAAGACATTTACAGACACATTTTAGCACCTTTTTGATAGATCCCAACAATATTATCTGAATATTATCACCTGGATTGTAAAAAACACTAACAAAAAACTCGCTGAATGAGTAAAAATGAAAAGAACTATATGTTTTCTGCGCTCTTAAACTTTATTGATCCACAAGAGAAATTATTTGGACACAGTAGCTCACACATCACATTATATCACAATAACAGAGCAAAATATATTAAAAATGGTTAATACACTTCTAAATTCATAGCAATAAAAAAATAGCAAGAGAACTTTTACAGTTTTTTTTTTTTTTAATAATTTGTCAAGTTTGAGGGATTGGATACCCAGCACATCAACAACAAGACAGACATAACTAAATATAAAACTAACACTCATACAAAGAAAATAAGTAAATAAAATAAAATTAAAGCCGCAAGCGGCGTCGAATCGAACAGGTGGAGAATACACGCCTAAATGCTTTAAGTGTGCCAAAACCTTGAAAAAACATGTCAGAAATATATGTTTTTGCTTCTAGTCAGTAATAGAATTGAATTCCAAATTTGATACAGATCCAATAATGTTGACATTTCCATGTCTATGGTAGGTGGGCTATAGTGTTTTTCATATGTTTTATAGTGTATTATATTCAGGCTGAGATCATGCATTAGTGATTCAAATTCAAGTTCAACCGGACTAAACATGTGCGTGTAATATAATATTTCATATTTTGGGGGGAGTCTTTGCGCCCTGCTGGCAACAATGAAAAATTTGAAATATTTTTTGGCTCGTAAATCATCATAGAAGTAATTCCAAATTTGGTACAAATCCGACAATGTTTGACGTTTCATGTCTTGGTAGGGCGCTATAGTGTTCACTTTTCATATGTTTTTATAGTGTATTTACAGTGAGATCACACATTAGTGATTCAAATTTCAGCACGATTGGACTAAGTCTGTGCGAACAGAGCAAATAATGTCACCTTGAAATTAGGCAAAATTTGATCGAAATTTGTGGCTTCGCCGCGCGTAAACCGTGACAGTTATCAAAAAAAATCAGCTAACTTTAGATGTTCCACTTGTGTAGATGATGTACGGTGATTTTTCAGCCCTGTGGGTGAAGCGCCTTCAGAGGAGTTCGTTCAAATGCAACGTCAGCGAACACGGACTGAAATTTCAAATCCAAGATGGCCCTTCTGGTTTTCAGGGGGCGTGGCCATAATAACATTTTTTGTTTGTCTTAAATGATGAATGTGTGCACCGAATTTCATGGCTGTACGACAAAGTTGACGGGACGTCTCCCTTAGGCGCAAATTTGAGTCTTTGCGCCTGCTGGCCAACAGTGAAAATTTTAACATGGCCAATATATATTTTTACTCGTAATCATATATAGAATTTAATTGCCAATTGGTCAGATCCCGAAATGTTGACATTTCATGTATAACGGTAGGGGCGCTATAGTGTTCACGTTTCATAATGTTTATAGTGTATTATATCAGACTGAGATCATTAGTGATTCAAAATTTCAGCATGATTGGCTGCCGCTCCTGTCGGACTAAGGACACGACTCCGCGAGGGCTCCATGACTTCTGTAGCCGTAATGAACGACAATCCATAAGTGGTTGCGGCTTTCATAAGTTCATCAAAGTCGTACTAAAAACATTTTGACAGAATTTGTTGAACGCTGTGCACCACATTAAAATTGGTTCACGGGTCAGTAAGCACAACCAGGAATCAATACAAAGGCACTGTCGATTTTGAGAAAATTAAAGTATTTAAGCGCCGCCTTAGGTCCGAAAAATATGGTAAATGTAACACGTTTACCTCACATCTGTCTGTAATTCTCTATCTTTAGTGTTGTCCTCACCTTCCTTGCAGCACGTTCTCCTGTTGCCCCTTGTCCTCGGCCTGAGCCCGTCCCTCTGCAGCGGAAAGCAAGCAGTTCTGGTTTCCTGTAGGGTTTGATGGCGAAGCAGAGTGGGTGACTACTCTCTCTCAGGGGCCTGCACCTGGACCTCTCCGCTTACCGCTGTCAGCTGTGTTGACCTAACGCGGCCGTGGCCTTTGTGACCTTTGACCTGCTGACACCTTTCTTCATACTGCTGAGGAGGGAGTGGCTCTAGGTTTCGGCTTGCGTTTGGTTGGGCAATTGGCCGCGCCGGAGAGCGCACGGTCACCTTTCGACCTGAGAGACAGAAAAGACATCGGAAAACTAATAATTACTGCATTAGTTGTTGAGAAAAAATGAATGTTGAGCCTATAAGAAAACTAACTCAAAAGTCTGCAAACAAATGACTGATTTAAAATAAAACATGCAAAATATTGTTTCTGCCACTTTGGATGGTTCCTTAACTCCTTTTGTGCGAAACCTCAACCAAGACATTTTACAGACACATTTTTAGCCCTTTTTTGATAGATCCCAACAATATATCTGAATATTATCACCTGGATTTGTAAAAACCACTAACAAAAAAACTCGCTGAATTGAGTAAAAATGAAAAGAAACTATATGTTTCTGCGCTCTTAAACTTTATTGATCCCAAGAAAAATTATTGGGAACACGCTAGCTCACACATCACATTATATCAAACAATAACAGAGCAAAAATATTAAAATGGTTAATACACTTTTAAATTCATAGCAAAAAAAAATAGCAAGAGAACTTTTACAGTTTTTTTTTTTTAATACATTTGTTTCCAAGTTTGAGGATTGGATACCCAAGCACGATCAAACAACAAGACAAGACCATAACTAAATATAAAACTAACACTCATACAAAGAAAAATAAGTAAATAAATAAAAATTAAAAACCTTTACAGTTTTAAAAAGGTAGAAAAAGATAGTGTCAGTGCCTATTACGAAAGCCCTGAGCGGCAAGCAAAAAAAGAAAAAAAAAAAGAAAAAAAAGAGGCACGTCATTCGGGCTCTATTTTTTATTTATTTATTTACTTTCCCATGTGTAAAAGTCTATACTTACACATGCAAAATTCATTCTCGATAGAACAGGCCAGTCCAGATCACATTTAATAATGAGGTCACACATTTGCATTGCTCTTTTTTAAACTTGAAATATTGCAAAATTTTTGTAACGTCACGGAAGGAACTCTATAGCCTGTACTCACTTCATATGATGTTTCTCAGACCTCCAGAATGACGAGCAAAAGCTGCACTAGCACTTATTCGGGATTCATGGCTGCTTTGGATGTAACGATATCCAAATCTCTCGGTACGATATTATCACGATACGCATCTCACAATACGATATTTATAACTTTATTTATTCACATTTTCAATTTAGAACAAACACTCCCAAACAACAGTAAAATAAATAATAAAAAAATATAGTAATAATAATATCTATATACATACACATATACGTACATACATACATAAATATACATATATACACATACGCATACATTAAATAAACGGAATTTAAATTCACATTCTATATGACTTCAATAACAGACACGTGTAAATGAGATGGCCAAATAATAACAAAAATAAATATAAATATACATATAAGATAAAATGAAGCGTAACATTAAGAAATAAAATAAATGCTAAATAAAATAAATAAACAAAAACAAAACACACAAACACACCATGGGGCACACTCATACAAAAAACAAACAAAAACAATACGATATTTATTACCATATTTTGACGAGGCTGATATAATTGTAGATAGGACGCATTTTTTTGTTTTTTGTGAATTATTTCCATGATAATCCCAAGAATTCAAGTAAAAAACATCTCTCTTCATGTTGCTTGTGCTGAAATGAATCATGGGATATGTAGTTCCCGATGTTTATAAGCTGTTGCTACTATAAAACCTATGCATTTAAAGGTTGTATGGTGGATTTTTTTTTGTTTTTGTTTCAAATTGTCAATGAAAGTTCAAAATAGAATCATAGAGATGCAGCAGCCTTGTAATTATGATCATCAAAAGTAAAAGAATGAAAGTCTGTCAATCGTGGACGTGGTGGGGGCAGATAAACATCAGCCAATAGATAACAAGGCTACCTCTTTATCTATTGGCTGTTGGGTTGTCAATCAAACTCCCTACGTTTCTAGCGTCACTGAGTTGCCGGCGCACGCTGTTTACTCAACCAACACAGAGGTTCTTAGCATCTTTTTGGAACTGTATTTTCCTCTCAGTTTGCACAGAGTTTGTTGCAATGGCAGACAAGAAATCACGACCAGTTCGCCCCAAAAGAAAGTCTGTTTTTGACGTCGCTGAAAAAAGAAGAGAAGGGGAAGAGGAGCGAAGCGCGACATTTGAAAAAGGACAAACAGTCGCTGCATTTCTATTTCCTTGGAAAATCTTCTATACAACCTTTAAGCAAAGGAACTTGTAATTCGATATATTGTGACAGCCCACGATATTACTGCGAGACATTTGACGATACGATATCACGATATTTCTGTTATTGTTACATCCCTCATGGCTGCAGGTGCTGGGGTTTAGGTAGCGCCCATTCAGATCAGAGAGATGCATTTTAGGTTTAAACTAACTGGATTTCAGCTCTGAAACTGGCAACACAAACGAGAGACTGATTTGACGATTGAACCAAAAGTAGACAGTTTTATTCCTTTAACTGTACCTTAGTATCTGAGGTGTGCCAGCCCCGTGCTCATACAAACACTGTGTTGCATTAGACATCCCAAATTACCAGAATCCAATGACTCACTGCCACAAAACCCAGACATAAACACATTTATTAAAGCAGTCATCTTCTTTTTCTTTTCTCCACTGTCTCTGTTACAGAATAACAACAACATTACAGCCGTCTTACTCATCCTTAAACGACACATCT